CTGCACTGTATTGTAAAACTGTGTGGTTTTCAATACAAAAAATTAGATAAAAGAATGGTGATTATGGAGTCGTCTCGAATCGTTGAATTGCGCCAAGAATTTTTGCACAAAGTTAAAATCTATAGAGAGCAGAAAAGAAATCTGATTTACCTGGATGAAACGTGGTATGATACCCATGATGTTGTGCAGTACGGCTGGGTTGACGACAGCAACAAGTGCATTTTAAATGCACCATGCAACCGTGGAAAACGAATCATTATTCTCCATGCTGGCAGTGAAAATGGATTTATACCTAATGCCTTGCTGTTATCTGCCAAAAATATCAAAGAATCATGTGCCGACTATCATGAGGACATGACCTCCGACTTATTTGAAAAGTGGATAGAGCAGCAGTTAATACCAAACTTTACCCCAAATTCAGTGATTATTATGGACAATGCGCCATACCATTCCCGACAGAAAAACAAAATTCCGAATACAGGCACAAAAAAACAAGACATTATTGATTTTATGAAGGATAAGGGAATGGAAATACCACAAAAATCAACCAAAGCCATATTATTGGATCTTATTAAAAGACAAAAATTTGAAAAAGAGTATGTTGTTGACAATCTGCTTCAGCAAAATGGCCATGAAGTATTACGTCTACCTCCCTATTACTGCATTTTTAACCCGATTGAGTTGGTCTGGGCTGCTTTAAAAAAAAGTAAGAAAACATAATCAGACCCCTCAATTAAGTGAATCGCTATTGGCCACAATAAGAGATGCAGTATCTCATATTGCTGCCACAGACCTATGGAAGCAGTGTTCTAGGCATATTATTGAAAAAGAAAATGAATATTGTGTTTTGCCTCCTGTAAATCCCCTTGTAATTCCTCTACAAGATGACTAGCGACAGCTCCGAAGGCGAGGATGATATATAAATACCTATAATGTAAGTCTTTATATACCTTTTTATATACCTACCTGATATGTAAATATTTGCCTATGTCAAACGTTGGAATTCTGTAATTTTTCCATTTCTTAACTTTCAGTCAACATAAATTAAACTCCCAATATAAGTATTTTTTATCCCAAATCAAAAAAATAAGAAGATAGTAAAATCCATATATTGTGATATAAAAACATTATTATTATCGTTCTAAATAAATGACCGCACGCCTATGATACGTCATGAAATTACAAAGGACGCGCCGACCAAAGGTTTTTATGCTATTTCAAGTGACTTCAGATACACCATACCTGTATATATGTATGTATATATATATATATATATATACTCCATAATCATTTCAATTTTTGGCTTGTCTATTGAATACCAAATATATTTGACCTACCATAGAAAAATTCATCTCTCAATCTCTGTTTGGGAATCTGACTCACCAGATATTAAACCGACCGTCGGCAATGAGTAATCAGGGGAGCAGAAACACGTCGTCCTGCGACCTGTCTTTAGGTAGTGCGTCCCTCTTTTATGGAGTATAATTTATTGCCGGTTTGTTTCTTTGATGTCCTTTACCGCCGTCTGATGGATCACTCTAAGCAAAAGCCAAACATACACGGTAATGTTTATCGAAAGGACATGCGATAAACAGGTTACAATAACAATAAGAGTTTTGAGCGTAGCAACTAGAATTCTTAGAGAAATTTTACATGGAGCACCCTTCAAAACACTTTAAGGAGTGTGTATATTTCGTATTTTTAAGTGTTGTGTTCTGAAGATTTAAAAATAGGAAAATTGATATATCATTATCTGCCGTTGGTAATAATGGAATCATCAACTTGAGTATTTGATAGACCAATTGCGTATGAGTGAAAGACGAAAGGTAAGAAATCAAAGGCCCTGGATGGAATGAAGCTTCTCAAACGCTGGGAGATTTTAGGTACGAATTCGCGCCGTGTATCGGCGGAGTGTGGGTAGAGACAGTTGATTATGATTTGTTCACCAAAATATTCATACAGATCATATTGTGGCGGAATCATGAATCTGAATATCCATAATAGTTAGTTAACCAGTCTGTTGAGCGTGTATGTCCAGCTTTACATCCACCCTTCAACTGGATAGATACACCCACACACATGCCGGTATACAATAGGTTTTTTTTGTTTTTGATTTACTGCCTGGAGGCGACCAAGATATCCAAATGAAGGGAAGAAAGGTTACAGGCGGATGGTTCACCTGAATGGGTTCCCTACTTTTAATTTTATTGATTTCAACAGAGTAATACCTAGTTTGGCATGTCATAGAGTAATTGAGTTTATACAGGGTAATACATATTATTATTTTTTCTGTCTAGACGATATATGATAAATAGCATTTTAAGGAAAATAGGCTTGTAAAATAGAGTGCTTTAGCGTTCCACCCATGGGCGATAACCCACCTGTCGTTCTAGTTTCCTTGACATTGTGCAATATCAGTAACTAGTATACTGATTCTAACAGAGGTTGGAATGGATTATTGTTCTGTCACAAGTTTGAAAATGAGTATAAGAGCGCTAAACTTAGTAACCAGAAAAGAAAGCAGATTTTCCAAACTGTGTGCAATCACAATCACTTTGTTTTTTGTATGTTCGTATTTATTTTTCAGGGAACATGAATAATGTAGACTGGAGAGTATAAAATTAAATAAAGAAATGGAACATCACATCTATTTTCTCGCAATATACTTGAACGATCTACTTTGGAATTTTTTGGCAATAATCATTGACGTAGAATGCAAAACTAAATAACAAATGTGTATCGTATTTTCTTCTTTTTGGTACTACCCAGTCATGAATCACAAAAATTTAGTTGTTCAATAAAGAGTTCCAGCACGATGTAACTTTAAACTAACAACTTTTTAGGAGAGCATAAAAGAACGGTGGGCCTTTGGAGTCGCTATCGAATGATCTTATAATCCTCCATGTTTGTCTAGTCGCAAATGAAACCTCATAAGCTAATAGTGCCTACTGATGAAATTCCGGCATTCACGGTGGCTTTTTTAAACAAATACATAAGTTATTCTTTGCGTTTAGTGGTGTTACAACTTAAGGGACGATGTCTCAAATTCCAAATATGTTAGAATAACAATAGTCGCCTTTACATCATTAGCGGAGCATCGAAATATTAGCACCCCACTTCCTGCTAGTTTCGCAACGCGTAAAACAATCCGGTGTTTTGCGGTCAACTACCTTCAGGTGACCTTCATTCCTGGATGTTTGCCTTCCTCCTGACTAGCTGCTATATCACAGACATCACAGTTTAACTGCATGTAGGATTTGGTATACCACAATGTAATTTCAACTGTTTCAACGACGGAGTGACGCTACTCTTCTATAGTCCATATCATTTCACCACTACTTGCTCAACCACCTTAGGCGCTAATGCGACGTTGCAGTTCAGTATTTTGGGAGGCCAGAAGATGAAGGAGCTATGTGCAGCTTCGATTGCAGATTTTTGTACATTACGAGAAACCATACCACTAGTTTCTGTCAGTCTCTCCGCTAATTCTTGAAATTCTCACACAAGGTTACTACTATGCCAAGGACCAAAAAGCTTTGTAGTTTTTGAAAACCAGCGGCGGAGCAACGGGCAATAACGGAAAAAAACAAAAATCGCACAAACTTCGTTTTTAGTCGTTTCACAGGAGCCTGATCATCATCATATGTACGCTGATAAGGAGGCAGGCGTTGACCACTGCGCTGGCCTGGCGGTTTACCCATCACAAACGTTGCCGTTACTGGTTACTGGTAATGGGTGGGGAGTAATAGTCTGGTCAAGTTAGTCCAAAACATGGCGTCAAATGTGGACTTTTCACTTAATAATGCATCCTATGAAAAGTATGATAAAACATTTATTGAACTAATGTTTGGGGGAGGGTTACAGGGAATAAGAGAGGATATATAGTATATTTATACGCTTGTAAAAGCGGTATTTCTACTATCAGTCATATTTCACACAGATTTTCCCGCACATTTGCCATCACGACAAGGAGATAGAAATCTTGACAATACCCGCCCCGAGATGACATTGTGTTTCGATGGTAGCCCACGAAAAGGCGCAGTGAAGATAGAAAACGAACACGTCGCGTCCAGGCTACTCCTGAGGTTTAGTCATTGAAATTGTATTGGCGTATCTAATGATTTGATTCATTCAATTCCTTTTTGTTGTACATGTTCGTAGTTACCTAATTTGTGTCACATGGGAAGTGCAGAATTAACCTTCTTGACGTCATTTTTTTGTATGTTATCATTGCTTATAATACCTCGCAAGAATCAAAATTAATCTTATGACATTCTGAAAACATGTGTTGGTCCAGTTGTATGATTACATATTTCAGGTGAAAATTCTTGCAGTCCCTTTTATGTTCTGATTTTCTGCTTTTTAAGTATCTTGCTGTTGTCCCTATATATACTATACTTTATTACAATATTTGCATGGAATCCTATATACAACATTTGATTGTTGCTCTTATTATAATGTGAACACATTGCTGACAATGGTGATTTCAACATTAGAATTGAACTAGTAGACTAAAATGTTAATGATTGTCTAGAGTTAAACTGAGGTACGTTAAATTTAATACGCGAAAAAAGATCTGGACAACCAATACATCAATTTGAAAGGAGTGAAAGGGATGACAGTATCCAGTGTCCGTCTGAGCTCCAAACTGTCAATGCCAAAAAGGTTTAACAAAAGATTATAACTCAGTTTCTTGTTCTGGGTGTATATGGTGCTTTTTAAACACTAGATATTTCAAAAACTTCCTTTGTAGTTGTGAAGTTTTCTTGTTTCAGTGCTATTACTGGTAGTGGGGCTATTGATTTGCTTATTGTTTTGTAATAATGTAGCGACGAGAGGCGAAGGGTACATACAATAAATTCGAAAAGTTGACGCGCACATTATAGCGAAGTCGAATTTTGAGTGGACTGGGGTGTTTTTAGATGGGCGGCTAATTCATTATTATACTTTGAAAAAAAATATTAGAGGTGAAAACATCAAGCCTGAAACCTGAGACTTACCAAAACATGAATCAACAGTTTGTTCAAATTTTCTTGAGCAATGATGTTACATTCGGACAAGGAAGTCAGATAACTGACCAGTAACCACTCCATTTTCTCCACATCTTTTTCAGGATCTAGTTTCAGAAAGAGCTCATTGTAAATATCATCCTGATCAATCAGTACCCTAGGCTTTACTGTACTCTTAATTGTGATTGGTGCACTAGGTGGAGAAGCCATCTGGCTCTGAATCTCTGACTCATACCAGTCTCTATACACACAATTTATGTGATTGAAAGATTCCTGGAGCTTGTCTAAGGGAATTTTGTCTTTCGTCACTGTATTTAATAGTAACTGAAAACAAAATTGTGAGCTAGTACAGTTTTGTATGTAGACAAACTGTTCAGCACCAGTTTTAGCTAAACTTAAGTCTTACCTGTAACAGGACCATTTTAGCATTTGTCCTTTTCAATGCCACTTGAGTACATACTCCTAAGTCTGATATTTGACTACATAACTCAACAAGGCGTAAGTTGATATGCCAAAGGCATCCCAACTTGGCATCTATGATTATGTTTGGTTGAAAGACCACCCAATTTGGAGAGTCTACAATATATAAAATGAATCAGTTATAATCAAACAATTGTGACATTAAAAGAATTCATGACATGGAAGTTGCTTCAGATCTGTTAAAAGAACTGAATGGAAAGTACAAAGCCTAACTATTTTTTTCTGGAACATGTAACTTACACAGATCACATTCATGTGTTTGTGGCTCAATCAACCCAGGGAGTGACAAACTGACAGGCTTGATGGACTTAGCTGGGACAACAGGTGCATGGTACTTCACTGTACCATCACTCTCTCCTGGAAGAGCTACATCTAACACCAATGAACTTCTGGAAGCCTACAATGTATATTTTTTTGTACTTAAAGCACTCATCAGGTTTATTAGGAAAATGACAATGGACAGTAGGGCAACATTTAACCATTCTCTCAAGAAAATTGTATCTAAGATAGGATATGTTAATCAATGATGGCAACATGACTGCTTCAGCAAATCTACTGTTAGTGTTATCATGTTCAGTCCCTATAATAATAGCCATAGTAGTTCTATGGTAACACTAATTTCATTTAGTACAATACTTGGTTTAATGGTTCAAAATATTACTAGTACCTGATAGGCAGCATAGTAATAGACACTATGTCTGCCTACCTAAGCTGCTTTCCAATGAGTAACTCAGCAGTGCACAGTACCAATACTGTTACACCTCACATTGCATACTGAGTGTGGAGGTACTACCTGACAGACCTCTCAGATGGGCCACAATGTGTACATATCTCATGTTGACTTATGCCCTCACTAAAGTCCATCTGATCCTTTTCCCCTTTTCCCTGCCCTATACTAATATATAATAAAAAGTACCTGATGGTGTACTAAAATCATGTCATCAACCACATTAATAGCAAATCTGCCTGTCAGTCCTAATTTCAGTACATGTGTCTTAACTGGTGCCTGTCCAGGCCCATCTAGAGTATGAACATGGACTTCTGCTGTGCCAGGACCACTGTGATGACGAAGAATTAAAACTGCTGGGATTCCATATAAGGTAGCTAAGGTTACATCTCTTTCCAATGCCATACGACCAGGTTCAGCTAGAATTTAATAACATAATTGTTTAGGTTAATACTTCCTAATCTTGCAAGCCTTGGTATTGTATTACTCACTTTCAACTTTGGGCAATTTTATAACTGATCCTTGCCTAATGAATACTGGCAACAAATGAGATCCATGAGATGATGCCAATAAGGCTAATTTATTTGTAGAGCACCAAACAAACCACTGAACAGTGGCTGAAACAGTCTTCAGATGTTTCAAAGACTTTTTCTCTTGCAATACCATGTACAATTCTATCCCGTGATCTGTTATGAATGCTACTTCATTTGGGCAGGACCACACAAAGCCCAATATATTAGAATTCTTTTTACAGCTTTGTGTGTAGCATTTATCAAGAACATTGCATTGGAAGTCCATGAACTCAACAGCAGTATTTGTTCTTTGGACAGTTAGAACTTTGTGATCAGGAGAGAACTTTATTGATAGTACAGGTCCAGTATCTTCCATTCGAAAATTTAACGTCTCGGATTGAGCATCTGCATTTTTTACTACCACCCCCATTATGCCTCCAGATCGTACAGCAAATACCTGAAACGTCTTGGTTTTGAAGAAAAAAAATCTCTAAATTTTTTAAAACACTTACATCTTTATTGGAATCATCGAAGAAAACGTTAGTCAACTGATTCACTGCTTCGAATCGCACTGGCGTTTCTGACAACTCCAAATAATACATTTCTTTGGGCGCTTTTGGAAAATATTTTTGAATTATTGGAAAATACAATACAAAATATCCTAACCTCACTTAGATGACAATTGACGGCACGGATGAATAGCAACCTTCTGGTAACGTTCGGTAATTTTCGTAAAACTTCGGTGTTTTCCTTTGGCCTTCAACATAACCTCAATGCAAAACAAATTTCGACGTCTCGTACGGGATCGCAGTAGCCTTGACAGACTTCTTGGGGATAAAATTTATTACTCATTCTAAAAAAGGACCTGATTTTTGTTCCCTGCGGGTCGAAGTGAATCATTGATTTAATTTTTTGTCTCGTGAATTTTTCGTGGTGGTGTAATGTTCCTCTAGTGCCTCTACAGAGCCTTTCCTGTAGATCACTTGGTAAGTACAGATAATTGTATTTTGGCACCAGTGTTGTGTACACTTTGAGTAATTGCAGAAATAACAATGCGGTTTTACACCAAGGGGAGCCAACAATCATCGTAAGATCTGAGAGTGGTAATTGTATCCTAACTACCGTATAAATAAATAATTCAGTTGCGAAATAATATGCTATTAGGGGGACAGATTGCGTTGAAACTTGAAGCAACTTTTGGAATTCAGGAAATGTGTTGATTTTTTCTTACGTTTGTTATTCATATTATGGATTATAATATAGTTTCATCAAACCTCGTCGAGTATTCTGTTGTAATTATCAATACCAAAACAAAGGACTTCACATGTTGAGGTATACGATTTTTTGAAATAGGTATACATTGTCTAACAGTTCCGTAATTATTCCAATTGCTAAGTTTTCAGAACTGCATTTTAACATAATTGCAGAGTTTCCTCTGACTCTGTTCTAATTAATTTCATGATGGATAGTCATGAGTCATATATTGCAGAGAAAGGTATAATGTAAGTTTTCAGTTGGTCATGTACAGTATATTGCAGGAGTTGTGCTCATCTGTATTCCCAAGAGATCCTGGAACCTCAACTTGAGAGAGAGAGAGAGAACCCTATTTTCCAACAAAATAGTATTGCTAGGGCTACTACCTCTTTAATTTATTTATTTATAACTCCCAATAGGTTACACCCAATTACAGGAAATATACCAACATCGAAAGTAAGTCAATAATTTAACAACAGAGGAACATAAAAAAATTAAAAAACAAATAAATGTATACAAGTATGCCAGTATTTGAAATGTGGAAATAACTCTTAACATATCGATTCTATATCTCACCAAGGTACCAATCTCGGTAACAATCCAATACAGATTTTACTTGATCACAAAAAATATCACAAGGTATTATTATTATTAATGCTAAGCCAGCATCCTATATCTCCAGACCTTTTGCCAATTGAAAATTTGCAGGATATGATGTCCTAAGAACCAAGTACAACTAGCTTGGGATTAGATATCTCAAGAAAACATAAATCACTTCCTGAGAAACAGATCCTGACAACTGTGCCAACATAGATCAAAAAAGTATTTGCACCTATTTTTTCCTTGAATCTTAATAATGAAAAATGAATCGTTTGATACTAAATTTATCTGAAAACTAACTTCCAAATAATAATTTTTGATGGTAACAGATTGAGCAATTTGAAAATAATATAAGATTAATAATAGGAATTATGAAATTCAAGTGTCAAAAAAATATTGGCACACACTAAAGCAACAAGTCAGTCAAATCATCGTTGGTTGTCAGAGTGGTCTGTGGGACCTTAGCTCTTGAGTCACAGTGTCAGTTTGTAAGTCTGTCAGGTCTGGTAACCCAGAAGCCAGACAATTTTCAGGACAATAGGTAAGGAAAGGAGAGAAGGAAGAACGAGAGCAAAGGGAAAGAAGAGAATCTTTTAGGATAGGCAGCGTTTAGGCATTGTTAAAAACACTTCACAGATTTTGATATGGTCTAAAAAAGATTTTGTCAAAATGCTCCAATTTTGTTCACGAGTTAATTTTGATTACAGTGCGAGCCGCGGCCTTTTGTGCTTGCGAACTTGCGTCCACTGACTCACGCAACAGAGGGTTGCTGTGCGATTTCGCTAGGCTATAGCGCCGCTGCGCCTGTTGCTTAATGTAGTCCTTTAGGTAAGGGACAGCAAGGTCTCTATGTAGAGTTTCATTAGAGACATACCATGGGGCATCAGCAATAGTGCGCAACGTCCTGCTTTGCAGAACCTGCAGATTTCGCATGTGTGTTTTAGCAATAAAACACCAAGCCGCACATGCGTAAGTCATTGCTGGTCTTATGACCACCTTATAGAGTCGAATCTTGTTAATCAAACTTAATTTTGAACGTTTACATAATACTGGATAAAGCTGTCGAAACGTAATTTGGAATTTAGTTTTTAGCTCTTATATATGGTTCCGCCAAGTCATCCCTTTGTCCAGAATGACACCGAGATACTTAGCAGAGGATTCCCATGGTATACGAAGTCCATTCATTGAAACTTCAGACGGAACACCGCGACGTCTTTTTGTACAGTAGATTGCCTGCGTTTTCGAATGGTTTATTTTAATTAGCCACCGATCCGCCCAATCTAATACTTTCTCCACCGCACTTTGCAGCCTGTCATGGTCTAGGTCACCAGACCACGACTGAGCCACCAATGCAGTATCGTCAACATAGAGATAGACTTCACAGTTGCTGGGACTAGGGACGTCATGGATGTACAGTGAGTAAAGGATAGGTCCAAGGACCGAACCCTGAGGGACGCCGGCTGTAATCAGCCGTGTTGTCGTCAGGACATTGTCAATTTTGATCCGAAATTTCCTACCTTCAAAGAAGGATTTCAGTAGTTTTAGAAGCCAAAAAGGGAAGCCCTTTTGGATTAGTTTATACAAGAGACCCGCGTGCCACACCTTGTCATGCTTTTGAGACATCCAAAAGCAAGATGCCAGTACATTCGTTAAGGGTGAATCCTCTGGTTACACGTTCCACCAGCCTAACCGCCTGTAGCTCCGTACTATGTTCAGACCGAAAACCGAATTGCACGTCAGGAATCACATGGTGATCTGACGAGAAATTCTCAAGGTGTCGTAGAATCACCTTTTCAGCGAGCTTAGACGCAGCGGACAGCAGGTTAATGGGACGATAATCCTGGGGAAATATCGAACCCACCTTCGTTGGAATCATTATAACTTCAGCGGTCTTCCACGCGGATGGGAAGTACTGGATCCTTAGCATGGCAGTGACTATTGCCACGAGATAAGTTAAGGACTTCCGCGAAAGCAGCTTCAGCGCCTTATTAGTGATTTGATCTTCCCCAGGTGCTTTGCGCACTTTAAGGTCTTTAATATGACCTTGAATCTCTGCTGGTGTGCAATGTGGGATCTCAGGAGATGCCGCTGATGCGCTAAGCAGATCTTCGGTTGAAGAAGCTTCTGAAGAAGAATCTTCTGATGAAGAAAAATCACCAACGATAGCGCGACTGTCACTGACGCCGTTGGCCCTAAAATATCCCCTGACAGATCTTACGATGTGCTGCTCCTCGTCGAGGTCATTATCAAGATCATAGTTGGGAGAGAACTGTCTTTCCATGGCATCGGCGAAAACCTAAACCTTCTCCTCTGTCCTGGAGACAATGCCTCCAGGACCGTGAATGTGTGGGATTTGTTCACGCTTTCCGTTTTTGAGCGACTTCGCCACCTACCAGAGAGGACTGCTTGAGTCAAGCATCCCCGCCAGCAAGTCGTTCCATTGCTCATTGCGGAATTCATTAAGAGCATTTTTTACTTCATGAACAAGATTCGCCGCTCTGCCAATGTCATCAGAATGACAATACCTTTTCGCTTGCTTAATTGCAGCCCTTTTATCAGAAATTTTCTGACGAATGTCTGCTGACAGAAAAGGTCTGCCGTGTCGCTGCACGGGAAGTACAGCTGCACGCTGCAGAGCTTGCTGAACAAAACTTGTCCACTCTGCTTGAGCCGCATCTATACCGTTCTCATCATCTATGATCGGAATATTGGGGAACTCTCTGAGGAGCGACTTGTATAGCTCCCAATCAATGCGTTTCCTTGGAGGGGTTTCATTCCCCAAGATCTGCTCATTACCCACTTCCAAAACGACGGGAAGATGATCGCTTGAGATGTCATACATGATTCGTGAAGTGATACTGTATCTATTTTTGGATAATGCAAAATCAAGAACATCAGGTGCCTGAAGGTGATTAAATGGGTGGTCGGCTCCTCAGTACTATGTATGAGGTAGCCATTTCGTATCACATGGTTGTACTGTCGGATCCCACTGGTGGAATTCAACCTAGAATGCCATGCTCGATGTTTGCAGTTGAAGTCTCCTGCCACAAAAAGTGGACCCGAGCAGTCTAAAAGGATTTCCAGATCCGCCTCTTGCAGCCTGATACCATACCTGACATACACCGATGTGATTTTTAACGGCACACCTCCCGTCATATTGACCACCACGGAAGCCGCTTCGATGCTCTGCATCTCAGCGCTTGTGCTTGTGTGGTAGTCAATACCGCGTTTCACTAGCACTGCTAAGCCGCCACCCCGTCCAGTCAATCTATCAGCCCGGATAACATCGTAATTCGGGAAAGCTAGACGATCTCCCGGGTTAAGTAATGTTTCCTGCAGCAAGGCCACATCTATACTTTCGTCCACAAGAGCTTGATGAAATTCCCGTTTTTTGGGAATGTCCCTTAGACCCAAACAATTCCAAAAAAGAATTTTGATAAATGCAGGCTGTCGTCGATAGTCCCTAGCCATTTGCAGGAAGGATCGCCTGCAAAGCCTGTGTTGCGCTTATCAGAGGACCTATGATCTGCTGTAAGGACCTTAGCGCGGTTGCCAAGTCCACATTTTGCGTGTTCGTCAGAAGCACATTTTAAACACTTAGGTGGTGCAGTGCAGTAAGATTGCGCATGCCCATATTTTTGGCAGCGGTGACACTGCCCGATGAGTCTTGACTTCTTTTGAACTTCGACGACTCGGATAGCCAAACCTAGCAGCTCATGTTCGTTGAACAGCTGCTGAGATTTTTCTATCTTGGGCAGTATGACTACCACCAAAGGCATGGGCACGCCGCCACCGCGTTTCAGGCGAATTATGTGCAGGGGGAATATCCCCTCTGTTGCAACTCTTCCTTGATCTCCGTTTCCGAAAGTGTCGCAGGTAGGTACTCCTCTGATTACAGCATGAATGTTCCTCTTCGAGGGTAGAGGGAAAGTGTGATGGGGCACCTCTTCCTAGCTGAAGAGACAATTCTGCGGTAATCATCCTCGGACTTGGGAATTATCCTGATTCCTGCATCGACGGCAACCGCGCGTTCGAATTTGATGCCCAAAGAAATAAACTTGTGATTTACGCCTCGCCATCTTGAAGCATCGCGAAGAACGATGGGGGTAACACGTACCCTGCGTGGGGACTGTGCAGTCGTGTCTTCTGATACCTGAGATGTGGAAGGCGAAGAAGTAACCGATAGATTAGGCACAGGCTGTTTATTCGAGTCGCTTGCAGTTGAGGGAGAGGAGGAAAGCCTGTCGTGTCGGTCTTGTTTCGTCGCGTTTTACGGGGCTTAACCTTGATAAAACCGTCAGGGAGTGTATCGTCGTCAGTGGAAAGATCGCTAAGACCGCTTGAATTATTTAACGGTCTTTTAAGATTGACAGCTTTGTCTTTACTGGGATTTTGTTGGAGTGTATGGGAAGAATGTGTAATATTTAGATGGGAAGGTACCTGGGATTTCAGTAGGAGGTCTAATTTAACTGTTAGGTCGGTAATTGTCCGATGCAGGGCTTCGATGATCATCATCAATCTTTCATAGGTCTTCTTATCATCGTCCTTTTGCCATGGTGGAAGCGCCATTTCCTGACCCCGCTGAGTCAGTTTCCATAGTAAATACCTCGGTTATCTCGCTTTTCGTCTCAAAAATTTTCCGGATCGAAATTACGGGACAGCTGCTATCAGTGCCCTATACAGGGCGATACTAAACCAACAACTAAGTACATAGAGGTCTTAACAAAATATATTTACAGATAGTACTTTGTTATTATACCATTTGGATTGATTATGGTCTTGAAGACATTGTGGCAAGGATACTCTGAGTTCTTTCTGATCCAGTTTGGTCTCATTCCTGCATAAGAACATATTGTAGCTGTTGTTTGGCAGAAACTTTACTTTTTCAGGCCTTAAGGTCTAGCAAGTACCACAAATATTCAATGGGAATGGTATCTGGAGATTGTAGTGGAGTTTTGAGTTATGCAGGAACATTGTAAAGGAATTGTTTCTTTGTTTTAGTGCCTATCTATTAGGGATTGTTATCCTGCTGAAAGATAAATCTATCCCTGATCCCCAGTTTTTGATAACTGCTGTTCAAGTTATTACACATAAAGTCAACATACTTGTCTGCATCCATAATGCTTTTGATGAAGCTTAGCTTGCCAACACAGTCGACAACTTGCAGCCCCAGACTAAAATGCTCCTGCTACCATGTTTCATAGTTTGGCTGACATGTCCCATTTCAAATTAAGTTTTAGGTTTTCTTTGTGGGTATTTGCGACCATCAGAGTCACAATCTTGGAGATTAAAGTAAGGTCAAGATTTTGGTTCTGATAGTGACAAATATGTATAGAGAAAACCTAACACCTAATTTAAAAATGAGAAATCCCAGCCCAACAGAAGTATGGTGGAAGGAGCATTTTAGTCTGGGACTGCATGTTGGGGAATGGCGTTGGAATGCAGACAGGCGTGTTGACATTTTGTGCAATAACTTGAACAGCAGTGCTGCAAAAATTGGATCTTTCAGTAGGATGATGATCCTAAGCATAAGCACACCACCAACAAAATAAAAGGAATGGTTACTTCACAATGCTCCTGTACAATCCCTGAATATCAATACCATTAAACATTTGTAGTATATGCTGGAACGGAAGGCCCGAAAAAATAAAATTTTGCTATACGACAGTTACAAGATGTTCTTATGCAGAAATGGGACCTAGTTAGACCAGAAATTACTCAAATTCCATGCCACAATAGCTTTAGTCAACAATTGATGTAAATGGTATGACAAGAAAGTACTAGCTGAACATAAATTTTCTTAAAACTTATTTACTTGTTTTTTTTAGTGTGCCAATACTTTTTTGAACCTTAAATTTCATAATTCCTATTATTATTCTTATATTATCTTTAATTTGGTAAATCGCCATCGAAAATTATTATTTGGATTCTGGTTTTCAAAAAACTTGTGTAACAAAAAATTCAACTGTTCGTTATTGCTATTCAAGAAAAAATGGGGTGTGGCAATACTTTTTTAACCCACTGTGTGGCTGTGGCATTGTGACGCCTCCCATCCCAGTCTTTTATGATATCCATTCCTGAGAGATGAGAAAGAAAAATTCTTCCTCCGGTATTGAAGAGTGTATCGGATACGGCTGCAGGAAGTACCGGCATGCCTGGGTAACCCTGAGCACCATTGTACGAAAATTACCTTGCACCTGAACCGTGGATAGGAGGAAACCTACCTCCCCGCATCCCTCTGTCGTTCTTCAGTTGTCACAAGAGGATTCGCACTCTTCAGCTTAAGTATGCAGTCCCACCCGTTCTTCAGTTTTCAACACCTCCCCTTTCTCCGAGACGAACATTTTCCTGGACATGACGCCACTGCTCAGCATTTTGCTAAACTTCGCCAAACTGTGATCAGTTTCTGAATAACGACATTTATTAAATGCTCTCATCAGTGTTAACTGCCGCACCGGAAGGAAAATCGTGCTAAGTTATTTTCCCTGGCGCCTTCGGGTGTACGCTAGGCCTAAGAATTCCGTGATACTGCTGGCGCTTGTCAGCATACCAGTAGACCAGATTGTGGAATGCTTTCCCCTGCTACTTACATATGTGAATTCATACAGTTTAAGCCATTAGAAATGTCTCTCATGTGTGAAGAGGCCCCATAAATACACCACCACTGGACATGACTTTTTACAAGATTTTATACTTCGTAAAATAATCCTCCTACATTCGTTTTAATAGCCATTATAAATGATCTGAGTGCTTTGGTGATCACTCTAAGCATAATAAAATTTTAGGTGAAAATGAAATATCAGTTTATCACCTACTTTTCGTCGAAAAGCATATGGAGTTATTTTCAGAATCAATTTTTCACGCTCCGTCTGGATGTAAAATCAGTAAACCTAGTTCCTAAAATATCACCACACTACATCTGCTTTTGATGAGTAAATGTTCAAGTGTTTTTCCAATATCTGGTTATTGATGTTCCTAGCATGGCGTCTGAACACTAGAATGCAATAAAAATGTAAAGAAGCTGGAAAATTAACAGTTTCATGATGTCATCAAGATGACGTTGATTTTATTGTTAGTATAAAGGTAATACAATTATAAACATAAATGGGTATTCTTTGTTCACCTACGGGGACATCTATAAAATATCGATTTAATTCTTTAATTTTTGAAATCTAGGGTAACTGGGAAAATACATAGTAGTTTTCTTTCTTCCCATGTACAGACTGGGGAAATGTTTTAATTTTTATTTCCTTCAGTTTGTCTATTGCCTAAAGTCTCAGTAATTATGGACCAATTAGGAATTAATATCTTATTCTGATAAGTCAAGCGCAAGTCTGCGCCATTTTTTTTTCATAGGAAGTATGCTCGGCTACGAGGAGGAGGGAGGAGTGGGACGCCGGTAGCCGGGGACTCTCCGCAGTGAGTGGACAGGTCTGGTACACGGACGGCTCGGTCACCGAAGAGAGCTCAGGTGCTGGGGTCTCTGGGCCTAGAACTAGGCTATCTCTGCCTCTCGGTGGATACACCACTATTTTCCAGCCGGAAATCTTTGCGATTCTGGCTTGTGTATCTCACATTCTGGAGGGGGGTGGGCCTAGAAGAAGAATAACAATCTTATCCGACAGCCAGGCTGCAATGAAAGCACTAAGTGCCTCTCAGAAATGGAGATGTATCTCCAGACATCTCCGCCAAGCATGGGAACTCATTGAAGGGCCCAGTGCTAAGGATGGACGTTTCTGCCTATCTCTGGATAGAGCCAACCTAAGGTTGCTGGTGGGACTGTTGTCTGGCCATAACACGTTAAGGCGCCACCTGCACGTGATGGGGGTGGCTGAGGATCCCTTGTGTGAACGCTGCGGGGTAGATGAAGAGACCTCGGCGCACTTGTTGTGTCGCTGTAGAGGTGCATAAGGGCCCGCTTAAGCGGCCTATGCACTGACTCCTTATGGTGGCCGTAATGCCTCTAATTTCAAGATTCATTCATTCATTCATGCTCGGATATTATTTTCCAGCCAAGTGTATATAAATCGACGTTACAGACAGTGTCATCTTATGTGATTTTGAAAATCACAAATTAAAGTAACAGAAAGCTCACAAAAATGAGTATGACGTTTTTAAAAAGATATCGAAATATCGTATAATGTAATATGTGCCTACCACATTTTCAGTAGCCCTCGTATTATTTGATGTATCATCAAATTGTGTTGCGAGAAATGCTTACTAATGATTGCTTATTAATAGGCATCTTAATTATTCAATACAGTGATATATGTTTATGACTTTTCTTTAGGTTGTTGTCACTTGGGTCATTGATGTAAGTCAGTGTTGACACTTAACAGAATAGTTCATCAGTACATCAAGAATTCTAGTTAATTGGTACATACCTTATCATTAGCTATTTAGCTTTGTCACATATTTTACACATCAGGCTTGACCTCCGCTTGTGGCTTATGGTATTATTTTATATGGAATTTTTTATTCGAATTTTGTTCTAGAAAATAAAAATTTCAATTATTCTTCATTCACATGATCGTTTTGCTCTAATTTCTCGTAATTGCATTTCCCTGAAATCTCCGACGCAATCAGTATTTAGGTGTGTGTTGAACAATTGACTACTAAAATTAATTCATTTGTATTTCAGTCATGCGTTTTGGAAATCATTGGATCCATACGAAACCGAAAGCAACTAATGACATATCTGAAACTTGCTTGTCACTATCATTGTTCAATGGTAAAATAATTAGAAACAGTTTTTATAGTTTTATGTCTTCGATCAAATTTTGTACTCAATAAATTGCTGTACAGCAGAAAGAATGAAGTTTCGATGCAAACATGTGTGATTTCAATTATTTGTCACATCAAGTACTGAAAAAATAATCTGCTACAAATTGTTGTTACAGAAACTATGTATTTAACTACTTTGGATTCTTGTTACCATTTTCCGAGTCACGGTTATCGTGGAATTAATAATGTTATTTAATAATACATTTATTAAATAAACGTGTATATATATACAGGGTGACTTTGAAGTTGAGTCATTAATTTTCAGATAATGATTGTAGAAGGAAGATAAACCAAAATATGTGTGTAAAAATAAAAAAAAAATGTTACCTTGTTTTATAAAGTATCCTCCCGACAAGTATTTCAGTGCGGACCTGTATTTGATCGTGCGGTCTTGGAGCACCGGCATGCCCTCCCCTGTGAGGTCTTAAGTCACGAGCCCTTTGTACTAGATTCAGCATTTTCGTAAACATGTGCGATTTTTTATTTCGTTTGAGCCACGCAACAAACACCACTATTCACTCACGCGTTACCGACTGACACATCGACTGAATACAACTGAATAAAATTGTACATTGCAGTAAAAACATCGTTTCAAATTCTTTCGCTTTTTTGTTTCCGATGCGATGAACGGATAAGGCGGATTATATCCGTTGTTGCCAAACACGAGCACATAATATTATTATTGAGACAGGGCGGTACTCAAACTTCTAAAGGGCTATAACTTTGTTACTTTAATTTTACCAGAAAAATGTTAAAGGAAAAAAGCATTTCTTTTGATCAGATCTACTCACTGTTGAAATAAATGACTCAACTTCGAAGTATATATACTTATATATATATATATATATATATAACTTGCATTTATTATATATCGTAGCGATGTATTATTTTTAAAAGCAAACATCTTTATGTATTGTAATCGCGGAAGATTTTGAAAATGAGATTATGTTTTTTGGATGTTATATGACATGTTCATCACGAAAAACCATGTCACTAATTTCCGTCGTCTGTCTGTCCGCTAATCCTTGGCCCGGCTATAACTTGGAAAGTACCGGAAGGATTTTGATGAAATTTTTACACAAGGTTACTACTGTACCAAGCACGACAAAGCTTTATATTTTTTGAAAATCGATTCAGTGGCGGCGGGGAAAAGGCCAAAAACGAAATAATAGAAATCGCTCAAACTTTTTTTTTACGTTTCCGAGGAACCTGATCATTTTTTTAATGGGTAAAAAATTGGGCTAGGAGGGGAGTCTGCAGTGGGGTGGGGGAGGCCGTATGGCAATTTTTTGATGTTAGTATATTAACACACTTCCAACCCAGGAAATTCTACGCGCCTATCAAGCATATTTCACACAGCACAGATTGCCCCGTACATTTGCCCTTAAAACAGAATAGAATTTTTCTTCGGCAAGCGTCCGTGCCTCTGCTGACTAATGGCTGCGGTCGGCGTGCTAGTGTTCGTATGTGTCCTGCATCACTGGCACTATGTGGGCGTTTGGCCGCCAGTGACGCATCATGCATCAAGATATTGGGGAGAGGAAACGCGACGTTGGCAGATGGACGGTATTGCGGGTAGGGCAGGGAAATAATATTATGGACGAATTGTACGGACCTGTTTGACGGACTTGATCCATTTAATTTATCTGTTTTAAATGTTCCTCACTAACTTTTTTCTTAGAGGGTCTAACTTTAACATGCTGCTTTCGTCCGTCCAACCAAAAACAGCTAACCACAGACAGCTGTTTCGTGCTTTTTTGGCAACTCACCAGCATTTTCTATGCTTGGTCTCTGGAACAATGACGAAAGCATATCACTATGCTCTATCCAAGATATATACAGGGTGTTCATTTGAAATCTTCCCACCACGGATTTCTCGAAAACCACTGATTAAAAGAAAAAATCGCCGAGACACGGTAATAGATTTGTACGTAACCCCCTTTCACCCTCTGCCTAACAGGGTCATCCCCTTAAAAATTTTAAATGAAAAGTGGTATCGAGTAATATCTTGTTTGAAAGGTCTCTCGAAGTCCTTTATTTTGACGTTTGATTATTTTAAATCGGTCGATTCGTTTTCAAGAAAATTAGAAAAATCTTTACTCATCTTAATTTGTTCAGATAGAAAACAAAAAATCACGAAAATATCACTTTTTATTTCAATAAGTGTTTGAAATGTTGCCCGTTGTTGGCTGAACAATGATATAGGCGATGTTCAAATTCCTGACGGACATTTTCAAAAAATCTTTCAGATTGGGAAGTAAGGACATTAGATTTCAAACTGCCCCATAGAAAAAAGTCTAATGGCGTCAAATCAGGAGATCTAGCAGGCCATTCTATAGGCCCTATTCGCCCTATCCATTTGTGGAAACTCTCCTATCTATTGCCGAACCGGAAGAATATAGTGAGGAGGAGCGTCGTCTTGCTGGCAATATATTTCAGCCTCATCAAGTATAGGGTCTCCATACTCTTCGATTTGGTTTTCAATGGTTTCGGTGACAAGCGGATTAATGGTATTTTCCAACATATCCAAATAAATGTCTCCATTTAAATTTCCATTGATAAACAATGGTCCAATCACTTTGTCTCCTAAGATGCCTGCCCATACGTAAATTTTTTGAGGGTTCTTGGTATGCCCTTCTACAAAAGCATTGCTCCAATACCTGCAGTTATGCTTATTAATAAATCCATTTAGATAAAATGTGCATTCATCACTGAAGCAGATATTCTTTACATCATTAATCGCTGCAGTCATTTGTTGACAAAAATCAACTATCGAAATCATCTTCGGTTAACTGTTGCAATATTATCATTTTGAATTGATGAAATTTCTGGAGTTTAGTAACTATGTGTTCAGAGCCTAATGAAATACCAGTCGCAGCAACAATTTTGCGTAATGAAGTATTAGGATGTATTCCAAAATGACCCAATACTTCAACTTGAGCGGCTTAATTCAAAACTCTCCGATGATCACGTTTTTTATTTGCAACAGATCCAGATTGAGTAAATTTAGTAATAAGGTCCAAAACATACCTATGCGAAGTTATCATCCCCGAATGTCTGGCGTTAAACGTAACGGCAGTTTGCCGAGCACATTGATTTTAGGCACCATAAATAAGAATCATTTCCACTCTTTCGGCTAATGTGTAAACTATTTTGGAAGTAAAATCGGAATCAATGAATCAATTTTCACTATACCCAGATTGTCACAAAGGTAACTGCCACAAAGGTAACTGACGGCAAATTGAATACTTTCTTTCCCTAGGAACAAATAACTAAACAGGTATAACAATAAATACAGTTCACTCAGGATATCTGTGTTGATGACAGAATGCGGAAAAAAATTCGGGTTATTTGGTTGTCTAATCTTCCCAATTGTTGTTTATGTTGGTAGTTTCCGTTTTAAATTATAAACGAATTGTAGATTTGGAAAGCCTTAACGGCCAACACTTATTGAAATGCGGTGAAGTACTTTTTGATTACAAGGTTGTCCCCCTTGATAAATCTTTCGTCGTGTCTCGGTGTTTTTTCTTTTAATTGGTGGTGTTCGATGAATCCGTGGTGGGAAGCTTTCAAATGAACACCCTGTATATACATGCAATTATTATATATTAGTGCTGTCTTATTGCGATACGGTCTAACTTGTGCTAAACATAATCTGATATAAACTCAAAGAGGCGTTGCCTGGGAAGGGTAGATTCAACCTACTTGACTCCATTTTTTTTTGTTTACATTCGTTCCACGTTTACCTAAATACCGATATCCAAAGAAATTATATGCGTTGCGCTCACTGTGTCTTTAACAAATCACCTATACCATGAAAAATTTTCGCTGTTACAACTCGCTGGAAAAGAAGCTTCTCTATCAAATTTTATCTTATTTTACAGCATAAAATGTACGCCCCTCCGTACCCAACAGCGATGGCGCCTGGTGCCATCCCTTACCAGCAGTACTTCAATGCCTACCCCACAATACATTATAACCAACCACCAAGTGCCGCCAACGGGTGAGTATGCCGCTTTACATACAGTATGTTAACATGAATGTTATAAAATTCAAGCACCATAGAGATTGTAAACGGCAACCCTGCTTAGGGGTGGGTAGTAGCCCACCTAGCAGCGAAACTCGACGAGTGGCTTGACCCCCCACCCTGACGCTTTACTAAACTGCGCACCCTTGGACGATCAGCATATAGTACTTACAATTAATTATACACCTTATGTTGTTGAGTTGTATAGTATTAGTGATATCACACTGTATAAGAAAAATACGGAATTAAAAACTGAACAGCATTTGACTTTAGGTATGGATGGCATGGGAATGGATATGGCTGGCAGCTGGACCCCAAACAATGGCGTAAGGGTGGTGGTGGAGGACCAGTACCTCCATCTCCCTCCACAGGAGTTGTAGAAGAAACACCTGTCAAGAAGGAGAAGGTGGAAAAGCAGAATGCTTGGGTATGTACTGCATGACATGCATGTTACTGAGCCTTAATTATTTAATTCCATATATTCACAAAACTTTAGATGCCATGCCATAATATAAACTATTTATTTATCCTATAGAGAGAGAATGTATCACCTGAAACTTATCTTGTAGTATTTATGCTGGTAATCATCAATGTTTGTCGGTCCGCTAAATGAAACCATATATGTTTGGAATACTGTCTACTGACGACGACGTTTCGGCCACAACGGTGGCCTTTTCTGAGTACAGTTTGAACAATATACTGTCATGATTATCAAATTTTATTTAAACAGGCCATGGTTGTGACCAAAACGTCATCAGTAAACAATAGTTCAAACGTACCGGGTGTTTCAAATTCGACCCTCACCATTAGGATCTCGGAAATGGTAAGAGATACGAAGACGCTTAAATTGAGGCAAAGTTGCGTTTTTAGGTAATTAATAAAATGTCAGCAAGAAAGTTTCGAAATTCAAAGTACTTCGGAGAGAGGCGGAAAAAACGTTTTGATTTTTTCCCGATTTTATTCCTACTGGGATATCAAGACAAATATCACATTAACATTGCCACTTTTTCTCCTCTACTTAATGGCATTATTAGAATTTCATAATGACGTTTCATGTCGTGTACTCCAGCATCAACTTTATTTTTTCCTATGTCATACATTGACATTGCTAAACCCTAGTTATTTAAAAAACAGAATTTCCTATGTAGTCCTTAAAATTATCAGATAGTAATTTGTTTCGTATACCAGATTTATCGAAAAACCATAATAACCTGAGTGCTGAACAGTGTAAGAGAAGACTCGAAGGAAACAAAGTGAATGTCTGCTATCATTCTCTGCTCATTTATGATTATTATTATTATCACCATCAATAAAATTTTCATTTTGTGTTCAGGTTTCACCATACCTTTCTTTCCAACGTCAAATCCATGGTCAACTAGGGAAATACATGACTGACTCTAGGACTGAAAACTCCATTTAAATGTACAAAATTCCAATATAGCATCCATATGAAAAACAAAGATGTATATGGAAGCCGAAAGAAGACACCTCAAATTAAAAATGTGTCTGCGTGATCTGGTAATATGGTAATAACAATAATAATAAGGCAGAGGTAAATCGTAGCAGATATTCGCAATGTTATCCGTTATTCTGTTGGCAAAGCCTGACTTTTCTCTTACATTGTTCAGCGCATCTGATAAATTCAAGGCCTACCTAGAAAAATCTGTTTCTTTAAATAACTAAGGTTTGGCAATGTCAATGTATGACATATTATACATTTTTTGAATCATAATTAAAAACTCTATTTATCTGTGCAAAAATCGAATGTGGCGTCTGTAAGACAAAATAAAGTTGATTCTGGATGGCAAAATATGAAATGTCATATTGAAATTCTAATTATATTTTGTAGATGAGAGAAAGTGACAACGTTAATGTGCAACTTATTCTGAAATCTCCCTATAAATAACGTCAGGAAAAAAAACAAAACGATTTTGAGAAAATTCGATTTTTTAGAAACTTCCTAAGCGGCATTGTGATAGTTACCTAAATACGCCCCATTTAAGCTTCGTATCTTTAACTGTTTCCGAAATCCCAATGGTAAGGGATGAACTTGAAACACCCATTATATGAGTTTCATTTAGAGGCCAGACAAACAAGGAGGATTATCTATAGAAAATTAATTTAAAATTGGAACGTGTCGCTCCTACGCTTTAGCTAACAACGATTTCCGGCATCAGCTCGGCAAACATTAAATTTATCCTAGATTAGATTTGAAAAAATGCACAATCTAAAAATATGTAATGCAGGCTTACTCACTGTTATGATTAGAATCGGCAACGTTACCTTTATGAATGAATTGTAATGCTTTTGAGTTTTATTTATTTATACATAATTTCCCAACAGACTAATCCAATTACAGGAGAACTTAATTGTGTGCATGCAAGAACAACATAAAACGAACATAAAAAAATTAACTACAGTAGTAGTCACTGAAATTTGACAATTTATTGCATATACACAGCGATGAATGAAATGATACGTTGATGTGGGGGGTATTGTAGTAGAAAGTAAGAGACCTTCTCGAATTTAAACGCGGTGTACAAACATCTGGAGACGTCTTTGTGCATCTATTTTATCAATAAAAGCTTATGTAAGAGTGTCAGGCCAGCAATGGAACGCCTTAATTGTAGATACTAAGTTGGAACGTCATAGCAAAATAGATTAACTGATCCCTCCTTTCTATACATATGCCATCAATTTTGTATGTACAATATTTAAGAAACTTTATTTGTCATTTTCTAAAATAATTTTATAATATGCTTAGAAGGGATTCCATATTAAGGAAATGTACTCAAGTTTTGGTCGCACCAGCGAAATAAAAAGTGTTTTTAGTGCTGATTAGTTAGAGAGAGAACGGCAGTTGCGCATTACAAAGTCTAGAATCCGTGTCGCTTCGGAAGTGATTCATGCTACGTGGACAATAAAGTCCAAGCTTTAGGAAAATGTAACGTCAGAAGTTTAATATTCTACTTAAATGATAGCTAAATAAATCGTAAAATATCTTTATATCTATGTTTTCTTTTTAATAGTACACTTTCAATTAATGATAAAATCAGTTTGGGATGGGTTCTATTCCTGTAATGTAGGCTTTATTGGAATCCATGAAAATATCGACTAAATGATACTTATTATCGACTTAGCAAACGTTTTATTTGTGGAAATTATGCATCAACCGCAAACTGCTCGGAATTCATGAAACGCATAAATATATTTCTATCCTGTTAGCTGTAGTGTAGAAGCACAACTACTTTTTATGACTGTATGTACTGTATTAATTTAGGACGATACAACTTTCATTCCAGCGGAGAGCCGGCACTGTTCTTTGAAGATAATTGCAGGATTAATGATATCTAGTTTAATAAAAGTCCGAGCTACAAAGTTAATTTTTTTGATACATATATAAATTTTCTGATCCTTTTTATCTTTCTAATTATGCATGGGCTACTAATTTACTAACTTTACTCTTTTTTTTTAACAGTTTTTCTCACAGTTTGGTGACGAGGTAAGTTTTACGTCTCTGTGTACTGTGAGAGTCTAACTGTATCTTGTTATTTGTTCTAATATATGGCGAGGTTCAAATTTAGCTGACGTCGTAATGTGCATGAGAAAGATAACCAATATATAAGTTAGAAAGAGTGCGTCGATGGCGTCCGTGACCTCGTTACTCGGGTTGCTGGGCAACGAGGTGCTTCTATCTCTTTCTAACACACGTAATTCACGCTTCTCGCGCTCCTTTGTCGTACACATTACGACATCAGTGGTATTTGATTTTCAGTATAATATACTTGTTTATCCACATTGTACAGTGTATATCGAGGACTTTAGGGGAAACGTCTGTCATATCATTGTGTCATTCGGTCTTCATAATTTCAAAATTTATCAGCAGATCACTGTTGTCTCTGTTTATGAGTAACTCCATCACCCTTTGGTTTTATCGAAGGTAATCTAATCTACTTAATGACAAGACAGGATTTCGAAAAATCGTTAAAGTACGTGCCAGTAATTCGAACAGCTTTTTGAATTCCAACGGTTCGAATTATGTTTTTGTCACTTATTTCAGTTCATGATAGCTTGTAAAGATTCGGAGTTAACTGAAATAAAACTTCATTAGTTTAGATCATGGTTTAGCGTTTCAAAGGTATTTTTGAGATACACAAACACCTCATAAAGCTGCGCAACGACACTGTTGCTGTAAAATTGTTGAACTAGCATTGTGCTTTTTACACTCCTTATCTTGGAAGCGGTAGTAGAATTTCGGGTCGGACTCTTCATCTGCCTTAGTCTGGACCGCCCAACCAAGAAGGCAACACTGCCTCATATTGCTAGAGAAAAAGAATTAAGGTAAAAAGTGCTCATCATTTGGTAGATCAAGCAATAAATTTTACCAAATATTTGTAACAAGTGAATATAAAATTCTAGTTAACAAATCACATATCGTGCCGTTGGTCTTAATAATACCCGCTTAGTGTAGGATTCTAGGCTTTCTTCGAAATAAAATTATTCGATATGCCTACTCCTTTGATTAACTCAGAAAGATATATAGTTAGCATAAGTATTTTCATTATCTCTCTATTAATTGTCTGTCTATACCTATCTTATAATATGTCTTATAAAATGCCGTTGGACTTGTCTTAGCAATGCGAGTGACACTGTCTATATTAAGTTTTTATGAAAACAAATTGTCGGATTTTAATAAAAAAATGGGCCTTGAAATTCCTATTTCACGAGCTACAAAATGCTTGATGGATTTTGACATATGAGGTATCTCTAGATTTGTCTTGGCAGTGCGTGTGACACTAGATATGCTAAAATTTCATGAAAACGGCTTATTGGATTTTGACAGACTCTTGACTTCTTGATAGCGCAATGAAATCTTGATTCTTTTGAGTTGCTGCAGTGGAGTTGTTTGTATTTCTGAAAAATGTACTTGTTCTTTACCTTTCACAACATTTTCTTGATGATCCATGTGTTTGGGGCGAACTCGACTGCCTGGAGCACATTGTTGAGTAACGCTGGCTATCGTCCCTAAATATTTTGTAATATGTTATTCATTGCTCGCATAGACCGAAAGGTTGCTTTATTTGGATCCAGATGTTTGACGTTTGATCTCTTCAAGCAACACACCATTGCGCGTAAAAGACAGTCAACCTACTTGACTCTGTGTTTTAATGGTACTTAAAATACCGTAGTTTTAGTCATAGATGCTACAACGGAGACTGGAAAAATAGCAACTTTAGAAAAAAACTAACCTCGTCCAGAAACACTCCCTATTTTAATAAACATTTGATAATAATATGCAACACTGATCATGAAAAATCTTTCGAATGGATCCACCATTCCCGTATGTCAGTAACACAAGAATTCTGATTCTGAATGCGTATCAAAATACAATAGTTTTTATGTTTTTCAATCCTTACCTGCTACCACTGTGTCCATGGGCTCTGTTCGTATCTTGGGTAGATGTTATTATCTGTCCCAGTATCCAGCCAGGCAATATACAACCTTGAACTTCTTCACAGGGATGTTCGTTCTGTAATAACAATTTCCGCTATTAGAAACTTAGGCAACAGCATGGGCCAAAGTTTGCTCCTTGGGCCCTTGGGCTTTGTTTGTACCCGGTACTCGGCATACTTAGGCAATTTTACACAGTACTCGGTTTTACCGAGTATTAAATTACTCAGCCGAATAATTACTCGGTCTGAACGCGAGATACACAACTTGTGTAAATCAAAGAATTGCATCTGCAATGTGCAAAATCTGAGGTCATACGTTTTTCCCTAACTTTTCTGATATGTCCTCCAAGACATTAACGCAATTTTTGTAAAAACTAGATACAGCTGGAGTCCCTCTCACAGCCAAGACCAATCTAACAAGATTCATCAAGCTGTGTGACCTATAGCCTGTGAAATAGAATTTTTAATCTACATGCATACTACTACGCACAAAAAACATAACCCTGCTCTTAACAACAACATTACATTGAACAACTATAGTCTGAGCAGATACCGTCATACCGACTTCTTATCTACAATAATTTGCCCTATGACTTAAAACATGTCTTGAAAAAAAAAACTCTTAACATTCTTGTACCCTAAGTTTTTTTTATTCGCCACGAGAGTTTTATAATTCTTAATAATTACATATTTATCTATTTTATTATTTTACTTATTGTACAGTTATGCTGCATGCACACTTTTTATATTCTTCTATTTAACTATTTATACTTTTTAAGAAACATACCTTTTTTGCTACTTATTTTATAACTTGTCACCTATTTCATTATAATTTAGTCATGTATATTTTTCTTTTGCTGACCTTTTCTTGTTGACGTTCCATATCCGCAAAGAAATTTGAATAAAAATTGTTATTACTGTTATTGTTATTATTTTTATTACAATTAAGAGTCGGGTAAAATTTGCACAACTTCAAGAGAACGAGGGGGTGGGATACGCCTCCACGATTCCGGTGAGGCAAACAAAAAATACCAAAATACACCTGATCCATGTACAAGCATTGTCCTTCTGTGGATTGAAACATTTCTTTACTGATTTGTTATATAATGGACTAAATACTTGTCTCTACTACTACTGGTACTACAAATACACCACTTCAATTTGTACCATTAGAAGGGCGGGGGGGGGGCTTCTAAATCCATCCTTGGATATAGACTTTTCAGAAGCTACAAAATCAGGCAAGAATGATTCACGAACTTGTACGCATACCAGCCGGGCCGTAGTCAAAATTAGGGTTGCTGAGGATTCCTCTTCCGCTTCCTCATAATGCGGAAGTTCCGCAATACTTTGGGTTCCTCAACCGTTACCGCATCCTCATAATAAAAATGAAAATAATCCTCTTCCGCTATCGCTTCCTCAAAATTTAAGAGGAATTTATGAGGAATTTCACTGCGCATGCGCGTCGCGTATCCATGGTAACTCACACGCCATAGCGGGATGCCGGGCGGAACGGGCGAGCGAGACCTCCCCTCCCGCCACCCGTGCTTTTCTTTGCTTGTTTCAACTTGTTTTAATTTTATTGAAATAGCAAATAGCAAGCGTTGTTTTGTTTACGCGCGTATGCAACTATACACGCAGTGCAAATAATATAATCTAATAATTTGATTTCTTTTATCAAAAATCGAAATGAGACCGAAGTGTAGTGCTATATGGACGTACTTTAATGAAGTAGACGATCAGACTGTGCGTTGTAACTTGTGCAATCAAACATATTCAAGAAAAGGGCGCGGGACTTCTGGGCTACGGAGTCATCTCCAGTCACGTCATAAAACGGAATATACGGAGTATGAAAAATGCGATGCGGCTTCGAAAAAGGCTGAAGTGGAAAAGAAACGTAAGTGCACAGAAGAAACTTCTCTTCAGTTGGTCAAGAGGCAAGTTACTTTACAAGAGTCATTAATGAAGCACCAGTGCTGGGATTCATCACATGAAAAAAGTCGTGAGCTAGATAAATTAATCTGCGAAATGATTGCATTGCAAGATTTGCCTTTCAATTTCATTGAAGGTATTGGTTTTAGACGTTTTGTCCAAGCCGCACAGCCTAAATATGATCTAAAAAAAGTCAGTATTATACTTCGCATTTGTGTAATTACGTTTATCCTAAACTTTATGAAAAGATTAAAAACTTGATAAAAGATTTGGAATACGTGTCTTTCACTACTGACATATGGACAGAGCCTGGAGCTGGTGTTTCTCTGCTTAGTTTTACGGTCCACGGCATTAATGATGATTTCAAAAGAGTGTCTTTAGTTCTTAAATGTGTCACTCTCGAAGAACGACACACGGGCGATCTGGTAGCTCAAAAACTCGACGAAATACTAGAGGAATGGGACATTCCTCGGCAAAAGCTACATGCAATGGTCCGTGACGGTGGATGTAATATGAAACGAGCTGCCCGTATCTCACAAATCGACGATATAGATTGCACCTTACATCAATTACAATTGTGTGTACGTTCAGCTTTGGCGTCTAATGAACATTTCTCAACGCTGTTGGCTAAATGTAAGCAGATTGCGACGCACTTCAATCACTCTATAACTGGACAAAAGGAATTGAACGACTTTCAAGAACGCCTAGGTTTACCTCAGCTATCAGTTATCCAAGAATGTGCTACTCGGTGGAACAGCATGTTTTATATGATTGAGCAACTTATTAAGATAAAGGATGCTATCATATTATATACATCGCAACACCCAAATTTGCCGCAACTTGTACCAAGTGATTGGGTAAAACTTGAAACCTGTACGATTATTCTGAAACCCTTTGAAGAGGTAACTAAATCTTTGAGCAGCACTGAGGCATGTATATCCTCTGTTATACCACTGATTCATGTCTTAGTATGTGCAATGCAAAAATTTTTGACAGAAGATAACATTGGTAATGACCAAGATTGCAAAAATGTCATCCAAAAACTGATAGAAGAGATTAACAACCGCTTCGGTGAGCTTCATAATAATAATCTCTACGCCATCTCTACATATTTGGATCCAAAATACAAAACGAAATTTTTTAATGAAATAACTAAAGAACGTATTGAATTAGCGCTACTAACAGTACTAACATCAACCAGCCAACGCCCAATAGACAATGTCGTCATGGATGTCCACAATCAACCATCCACTAGTTCTGGGGCTGTAGTAGACAGTGTAGACACATCCTGCCCCACAGCCAGCACTTCCACGGGAAAAATTGTAGATTCAATGTTAGCCGAAATGTTAGCCTCTGAGCTAAATAGTGACGATGAAATTGAAAGTTTACCAATAGAAGATAGATCCGTGGTACTGAAGTTACTATTAAATAACTACATTAGAGAAAAACGAATTAATATGCATGAAGACAGTCTTCTATGGTGGAAAAATAATCCGAAATATTCGGAGCTTTACGGAGCTGTACGGCAATACCTATCTTCTCCTCCATCAAGTGTCCCAAGCGAACGACTTTTTAGCAATGCTGGATTGGTATATGATGAGCTAAGAAACCGGTTGTCAGGGGAAACAGCGTCCAAATTAATTTTTATAAAAATTAACCTCCCTATAATTAAGTTTGATTATTAGTATTTAGTTCTTTTATTTTGACAGTTAATATTCGACTTAAGCAATTAATAAAGAAATAAAGACTGCATATTTATTTTCATTTCAATTCCTAAATAAAATTGTATCATTCACTCATCTTTTTTTTGTGTACGTGTGTTGTGTATGTTACCGAACTCCTCCTAAACTGCTGGACCGATTTTGATGATTCTTTATTGCGTGTCTTTTGAGAATGGTTTAGATTCATAGTTTGGTCCACTGAAAAATGCCCTTTTAATTAATTTTGTGTATGTACATATGTACCTAGTTATGTACATACAGAACAGCGGCTTTTGGGTTGGGTCCGCTAATATTTATAATTTCCTCTTCCTCATCCGCTTCCTCATCCGCTTCCTCTTCCTCAAAAAATATCCTCTTCCTCATCCGCATCCTCTAAATTTGCGCGTGACAATTCCTCTTCCTCCTCCTCTTCCTTATAATCACTTCCTCAACAACCCTAGTCAAAATATTGCCGTATGTTGCCGGGTACCATAATTATGGCAGCTAGATAACGCAGCAAAAATATTGCCCGTTTAGAAGTGCCATTAGGCCGAGTTGGACATTTATTATAGTGGGATTTTTCTCTGCCCTTATTCACGTTTTCAGGATTATCATTGCTATAAGATGGCATATCGCAAATAATATTTTTGAAGGTCAAAGGACCATTCAACAGATAATGGATAATACTGGCCAGGCAAGGGCGGTGAAACAGGTTTTATTAACGTATCTTTCCCTGAAAATAATTAACTATATACTAGCCTTAGGTGGTTGGTAGCCTCCCGTAGTCTGATCGGGGTACCTTCTAGGTTGACTGTAGCCATCTCTAAGTGTAGATGTTGGTGGACATACTATAGATTGTGCGTTTCGAATACGTCCACATGTGCTACAATGAGGCGGCTTTTTCGGAGATCCACAGGTGTTACAGTTGCGACCGCCTAAAGTATCAGTATGGATAAACCTGCTTCAAACTGGCCAACAATTGAATGAAACTACAGAAAATAAATTAACCTTATTACTGGTGAAAATTAAAGAAATGACAGTCAAAAATCCAAGCGTCCTCCATAATTATTTTTTCAGACTCATTCTGTTTTTTAAAGGTATAGTCAGCATTCTCTTGGATTGAGTAGTTCCCACTGGCTTGTTACACTTTTTTGTTCTGATTGTGCAAGGCGATATGAAATGCCGCGTCGTTGGCTCGATCCTATAAAAGTATAAAAGAGAAACCAACTATTTACCTAAAACACCATACACCTTGAAAAGGCTCAAGCTCTACTTGAAAGTTCAGCCCGTTCCCAATTTTTCTGCGGTTCCATTTTAATATTTTCATTAGAGACGGCACGAATATTCGGCCCCGATTTCCATTGGTAGTCACATAATTTGCGGGTGACAGGTTACAGCCTGTACTATTCGTCATCTGTTTTCCTGGGCCCGTTGCCCATTAGTCACTGTCTAATGTAAGTTAGTCGAATCTGTCAGTCCTCGTTGCCCAGAAACCAGACAATGTCAAGGAAAAAGAGAAAGGGGAAGAGAAGAAAAAGGGAGAAGAGCAAAGAAAAACAGAAGTTGTTAGTATAAGAGAAAACACCTAGGCTTTTTGACTTGGTACACGGATTAATTTTGAGGTGAACTAAAATTTTGATTCATGTTTTGTTAGAGTGTAATTTTGTATTTACTAAAAGTTCGCGCCTGTCTGCGTGCGGTGGAATTGTCCTATAGCACATACCGATGATGATTCTTCTCCACCTCACAAGGAAAGATTAGCAAATGAAAATTACACAACCATTGACTTTTTTGAGGAAGCAGGTACAGAAAAGAAATATACGGATGTAGAAAAGGAAAGTACTGTTGTAAAGAATATAGATATTTGTCTAAAAGCAACTCACCTAGTGCACGTTAGCAAACGTACAACAGTATCGAAAACTGATAGAATTCATAGAAATGGCCAGGTGATAGTGTATACAGTGAGAGATATTATGTTTCATAAGCGGATCTAGGTTACGAGGAAAAGATAATCATAAATTAATTTCCGGCGGTCTATCTGTCTGTCGGTCTGTCCTCCAATCTTATAACTGATACTTTTACGCAGTGCTACTACTATGCCAAGGGCACAAAAGCTTTGCAGTTCTTGAAATTCGGTCCAGTGGTGGCGGAGCTAGGGGAAGAACACGGAGAAGATAAAAACCGCTCAAAACTTTTTTGCCGTTTCGGAGGCCGCTGATTATTTTCAGAGACATGTTTGAAAACCGGGGGTTGGGGGTTGTAGGGGGTGGGGAAGGGTATATATATATATATTTGCAGCAGTATATTTATATACTTGTAACCGTATTAATCTTACAGTACATATTTCACTCATCATAGATTTGTTCGTACATTTGCCCTTAAAACTTTTAGAAACATTAGTAGACGCGGCCACGGTCGGCCGCGACGTAACCTTCATACGCTGAACACTCTCTGCGTGTCTGCGACTGATTGGCTCTGACAGCATCGCCGGGCACACAAATGGGCGGGGACTATGGAGCATGATCTTATTACATGGGCCTGTTTAGATGGCCTGGTCCATATATATATATATATATATATAGACGTGGTCATTATCGTCTAGACCAGCTTGGTGAAAAATTAAAGCTTCCACCTTTTGTTGGGTACTTTGACAAACATTTTTAGGCAAAGAGGACTCTTTATACCTTTTTTATTCTCTCTAGCTTTCAATGGACTTTGCCATCATCATCAGGAGCTGCAATTACATTGGTAACAGTAGCAACAATAGTATAAAATGAATTTAAATTGACTTAACTTACAGTAGTATGTGAGGATGTTGCTAATTGTTGTTTACATTCAGGATGAGGGAAACACCCAGTAACATGGTGAAAGCTGGATAGATGGTACAATGGTCAAAATTATATAAAATACACACAACTGTGTGACAAGAACAAGTTAAAAACAGATTAAATTTTTTTTTTAAATTTTTAGAACATGAAAGCATTACATCGTGAAGCCACTTGATGATTGCACAAAATGGTGGACATGGAATAATGAGTCAGATGAACCCTTTGACAGAAGGCCGAAGGTTGTCAGTGTCTGTGTAGAAAGATGGAACGAATTATTTTGTGGGCGTGTGCTACGTTGCCAAATCACTTCAGATGATGTGATTTTCAGAATGTGTTATGTAAGAAATTGTTAAACCGACCAGAGGCAGTTGAATTAACTATATTTTATTAATGGGCAATTAAATTAACAATTATTATTAAGTCGTGAGGAGAAAATTATTAAAATTTTTGAATGGAATGAAGTTTATTGGTGGAATAGACCAAGAAACAGATTCCATTTATGGTTGTGAAGTCCCCAAATTTTGACTCTACCCAACAAAAGGCGGAAGCTTTAATTTTTCACCTATATATATATATATATATATATATATATATATATATATATATATATATATATATATACAGGGTGTTCCATAATTATTGCGACAAAATGATAGGGGTTGTAGAGGGCATAAAAATATGCAATTTTGCCTTATAAACCCCTGTTCGTAAATATGCCGTTTGAGCACTACCGCTAATTTTACCTTAAGAGCTCATAGGAGAAACAAAAAATTCACCAGCTGCAAAATGTTCGTCTAGCACATTTCATGGTCTCGTTTGTAAAAAAGCCTGCTGTGTTTACATTTTTGTTATCGTAAATTCTCCACACCGATTCATTTAATTTATCTGAGTGGTGCGTCAAACTAGATAGTAAATAACAGTACCTTAGTGTTAAAATGCAGAGTTCTTCGTATGCGGAACTTGCGGATATGCATTTAATTTACGAAGAAGCTGGTGGTAACGGAAGACGACCCTCGCGAATCTACGCCTAACGGTTTCCAGAATGTCCTCATCCGCATCACGCCATTTTTGCAAGGATTTATGGAGTTGAGGCAACCAAACTTTGGTCGCTACGTTTTGTTCACTGACGAGTCCTGTTTTACAAAGGACGGTTATTTTAATAGCCGTAACAGTCACATTTGGGATGAAGAAAACCCTCATGCCATAGCCATCCATAGAGACCAACATCAGTTTTCAATTAACATCTGGTGAGGCATTGTGGACGAGCATATCATCGGGCCATATTTGCTTTCACCACGTTTGGATGGGCATGCTTATGGTCGATTCTTACAGCATGTGCTACCGGAACTATTAGAAAATGTGCCACTGAACATAAGAGCCCACATGTGGTTTCAACACGATGGCGATCCAGCCCACTTTTCTTTACAAGTGCGGCAGTATTTGGACGACAAATTTCCAAATAGGTGGATAGGCCGAGGTGGCCCTGTGCCTTGGCCTGCGCGGTCACCCGACCTGACCCCACTGGATTATTTTCTCTGGGGCCATCTGAAAGCTTTAGTGTACGAAACTCCTGTTCCCAACCAACAAGAGCTACTGGGAAGAGTGACGGCCGCGTCCGCACATGTTCAGGACATACCGGGGGTATGCCACAGAGTTCGCCGATCATTGAACAATCGTGCACAGCTGTGTATTGAGCAAGGTGGAGGACACTTTGAGCAATTACTGTAGGTAACCTGTTTCAAGAAACTGATCTTTTTTTTTTGTTGCAGCCCAAACGGCATATTTCCGAACAGGGGTTTATAAGGCAAAATTGTTTATTTTGATGCCCTCTACAACCCCTATTATTTTGTCGCAATAATTATGGAACACCCTGTATATATATTTTGTTATACATGTGTGTAGCTAGTCCAGAGAGACTAACTTGTGCCAAGCATAATCGTTCATGAAGCGATGACAACGTTGCGTGGGAAGTTTAGAGTCAACCCACTTGACACCTTTTTTTTTTTAGTAATATTTGTGGTTTTGTTTCATGATTTCGTATTTGATATTCGGCCGATTATTGCGATATATTCCGAATACGACATATTGAAAAAGTGGCCGAATAGTAGCCGAATATTCGTGGCATCTCTAATGTTTTTGTTAATATTAAAAAATGTTCATTATTACCTATGTATGGAGTACGACTTGCATATTGTGGTGACCACGATGGGAAGGGTTGCATCGACATTAGCTTCTTTTTCTTGCATTGGCATCTCCTCCTTGGAGTACAGGTTCCCATTACCCCCGGGATAGTTTCGCCTGCCCCTACTCCTTCTCCTCCAACTTCTTCTGTCCCTCCTTGTCCAAAGCCGCCATCTCCTGGACCTCCTACTTCTGGACATATTTAGTAAGTCAAATCAAAATGGCCTTAAGCAGGTTGACGATATCACTTATAGAAATATTTGGTTACTGTTCAGGAAATACTGACCTTCTACCATGACATTGTAAAGCGCACTTGTTTGTCCACGATTACGTGTTTTGATAGTGGATTTTTTTTGCGCAGAGCTGCAGTTTTCGTTATTCATATTTGCATGTAAGCCTTCATACCTAAATATTTTCTTGAACTGCAAGATCCTTGGTCTGTCTTTGTCATGCATTTGGTTAATTTAGATGTTTGAAGTATTATTGGATAAACAGGTTTTTGGTTTTAGTCGCGCCACCAGGACCTCGTTCAGTTACCTAAATCCACTATTATTTTGAAATTTTTCAAAAGAATAATGAAAAAACGATAAAAGAAATGGAGTTTTTCTTGTCTGGCTGATGCTAATGATTCCATTCGGAATAACGAGATGGGATGGAAGAAGGCAGGGAACAGAAAAAGAAGCGTACCCCTGCAACATTTGTCGCTAAGGAATTAACAACTATACAGGGTTTGTCCGGAAAGTAAAAGGACTGAGTCGATTTGAAAAAATGTATTGAGTCAATCGTTACAATTCTGTAAAAACTTTCAAAATAGTCGATGCAGCACTGCCAGCGCGATTTCCAAGCATTGAAGGCATCATGGAAGGCATTCTCCGGAATAGCCTTGAGAGCCGCGGTGCATGCTGCTTGGATCCCCTCTGTCATCTCAAAATGCTTGCCTTTCATTAGCCTTTTCAGGCGAGGAAACAAAAAAAAGTCCGGGGGGCCACTTCTGGGCTGTAGGGCGGCTGCGGAAGCGTTGGGATGCCGGCCTTGGTCAGGTACCTGTTCACAAGAAAGGCGGGGTGAGCCGGGGCGTTGTCGTGGTGCAACCTTCAGTCGGCTACGATGTCTTGTCGGACCCGACTGACCCTTCGTTTGAGTCTTCTGAGCACTTCCACGTAAAACTTGGCGTTGACGGTTTGTCCAGGAGGAACAAATTCATGGTGGACGTTATTCAAAAATTGGGGATCACCTTCACACATGTTCAAATTTTCTTGACACACTTCCACTCGCCGCAATTTCTGGTCGTCAGTGAGCACTTTTGGGACCATCTTCGCGCACATCATGAACCACAGATTTTGGTAAATTTAACATCTGGGCAATTAGACGGATACTTAGTCGACGGTCTGAGTTCAAAACTTTGCGCAGACCAGTCAGATTATCGGTGTTTGTCGAAGTTGAAGGTCTTTCAGCACGGTCTTCATCAGTGATCTCTTCCCGGCCCTCCAAAAGGGCCTGGTGCCACCGAAACACACCACTTCTTGCTAAAGCAACACCTTGGTAAGCCTGCTTGATCATATCAAACGCAGATTTACCGAGTTTCACACAGAATTTAATCGCGTACCTCTGCTCTAACGAACGCTGCATTTTCGGCTTGCACCACTCACAGAAACACGTAGCGCGAAAAAATGCTTGTCCTGACTCTCCAAGTGCTCGGAGACAACTGACCAGCCGCTCATTCGTTAGCTACGAACGTCCTCTACCGAATCCAGTCGGTGCGCGCACCCTCCGAAGTACAGTCATGGCTGAAGAAAATGAGTCCTATTACTTTTCGGACAAACCCTGTCAATGTGCTTTAAATAAATGTTATGTGATCTTACTGAGAAAAAATTAATTCATGATTGAGAATTTTTACTATGGTTCCAGTTTTTGATTTTCAAAACAGTATTATTTGAGGCTATTGGAAATTATTATTTTTTTTTAATTTCGACTATAATCATTGATAATATATATTATATATATTTATTTACAGGTATATAGAAGTGCATAGTAAATGATACTTAACATTACAAAGTAAATGCCACACTAAGCTACTTTTCATATTTATTTAAATCGGTAGCTCCGATTTTGGACACTTTCTCTATTATTTTCTGGGTCTATGCGAAGTCGTCAACAAACGTTGGAGGGTTCTAGAGAAATTTCTTCATTCTTCAGTTTCTTTCTTCACCCCAGAAGTACAGTTTGAGTAGTTTACAATCAGTTGTTTATGCCCGACTATAGTGCAAATTTTATACATTATGTATAATCGAATGCATTCACGGATGCTTCAAATGCCTTGACCTTAATAATAATGATACGGTCGGTTAAGACAAATTTTGAAAACAGGACTGAGTGCCGAAAATAAAACAAAGGCAGTCAACAGCCTCGGTGGACGGGTAATGCAGTACAGCTTTGGAATATTAAACTGGAGCGGAACATACATTGAAAAAACTTTGCAGTGCATACGGGATTGCCATTACTGGCCTATATGAGTATTTGCCTCATTCCAACGACAGTTTCATCAAGCTAGTTCTATTGCGTGAACAAGAAAAAACCAAATATTTCATTACAAAGATCGGGCAAATAATGAAAAGAAAATATGCACACTACAGTAAAGGATGAAAAGTGTAGGATTAAAGACGGATACTGAAAGTCTACTGATTCCTGCCTAGGACCTAGCGCTTAATACGTGCTAACACGGAAGAATGATCCTGAATCAGAATGTAGACAGCACATGTAGAATATGCCATCAATATGAAGAACATCTAAGCCACATAATTTTCGGCTGCTCAACACTGGTACCAACAGAATACACCAAATGGCATAACAAATTGGCTTAATACATACACTGGGCTATCCTTAAGTACCATCAAGTAGTGGACAGATGAAATATCAATTCTGTACGACAAAGGTGTCATTACCGACCGCACAATCTTCGCCAACCGACCTGACATTACCACAATAAAAAACTTGGTTGCTAATCGAGTTATGTGTGCCAGACCACAATAACGTCATCATCAAAGAACCCGAAAAGGCCAGGAAATTTAAAGACCTTGAAATTGAAATATCGCCCATGTGGAAGACAAAGACAAGTACGGTGCCCGTTGCGAATTGTCATTCAAGGGCAACATAAAACAACTCCCCAGAGAAGTTTTTGCAACACAATAAATACCTTATACCAGTCAAAATAATAATAAATGTCTTTATATGGATTGCGCACGATTCGGGCCTCCAGTTTCATTAATAGGTTTTCGTTGCGGTAGCGCTCAATAGGTTAAGCGCCAACGTAATCAACAATACATCGCTATAAATGCGATCTGTCCCTCCCGTCAGTGTTCGTAAAACTCATTACTAACCTTACACTAGTGTTTTATTGTCCTTACCTTCAGTTCCTACTGGGTCTGCCACTTGCAAACCTTCAGGTCCACCTCCCACTCCTCCAGATTCACCTCCCTTTCTTTCAGGTTCACCTGCCACTCCTACTTCTCCACCTACTCCTTCAACTGCGCCCCCCACTCCAGACTCGGACTTTCTTTTTTTTGCCGTCTCTCCTTCAGCGTCTTCTTTTCCGCCACTTGCAGCACCACTTCCCTTGCCCCCTCCAGCGCCTCCGCTGCCTCCTCCTTCACCGCCTTCTGTAATCATTTTATATGAGATTATATCTGGTCGGCCCGCCCCAAGATACAATAGCAACGTCTCAACAAATACAATTTCCACTGTATTTAAACGATATTCAATACAGCTGATTTCAAATCCAGGATTAGTTTGCCTCTACACCGAATGTCACATGATCAGTATTTAGTATTGTCCGTAGCATCAGTATCTACTGATCATTCCGTCAGTCTCAGTGGATTTCTACGAGGGTCACTTTTCAAGATTTGTGTAAAGGAGTCAAAGAAACTCTATCAATGAACGTAAATTGCATCACAAACTAAAATAACATTCAGTTCATTTTTCAAGAAAGTCACTATAAACATTTGACAAATCATGACATCAGCTTTTAGTGACTGTTTCTTTCAATGTGTCCTCAGTATCCAATCAGGGTTGTATGGTGGAAGATCCACTAATTTAAAATAAAACTTCTCCAGTTGGGTCCGAGTTCTTGCCTCAATGTGAGACCTAGCAGGCTCCGCCGGCGGTTTTAAATAACTCGCCTAACTCAACAAGCTGCTATGAATTTCATCAGGAGAAAGTTTTTGCGTTTAAATCCGAATTACTGATTGGCATAGCGACAAACAAGCAGTATAGTCACACAACCAACACCGACAGAGACGTGAAACGTTATGGCGGCGCAGTGAAAGACTGGTTAAGAGTGTCTGAGGTTGAACGGACCTCACGTGATAGGATGCGCAATCCGCAGGGATATTATATAATAAACCTAAAAAACGGCATAATAGGTAGTCCTTAGTGTGCAAAACGTTCATTCGACGTTTGCTCGCTATGATCGCTGAGAGCGTCATCAAAAGCATCCATCTAAGAAGGAATGACTCAACAACACGACACGCTTAAGCACGCATTGTTGGTTGAAGAAAGCCAAGTAGTGTTTGCATGTGTATAAAATCATTTGCTATGAGACAATTATTACGGAATGTGCTGCCAATGAAGTATACCTATTAGCTGTGCTAAAAGGGTTATTTATAGGTATGTTGTCCTTTCTGAAGACAGATTATGTTCAAAGTTATGAATTACGATTTGTAAGGTTTTTTTTTCAAAAGCTTCGAGGAGAATTACATAAAGTTAATCAATGCACCAACCATGGATTTTCTTATCTTTCATTTTTTAAATTCAACAAATTTGCATAAGCAATTTCCAGAATCAATAAGAAAAAGTGGATGTGCAACTAATTTCTAGCTTTCAATACATCATCAACACAGATTATTAGCACACAAATCCTCATTATGCACTGCCGGTTCCTTCCAGCTATAGTATACAACTTACAGCTTAGACCTCCAATAATACAATCTCTGAAGCAGATGTTACATCACATCAGAGCCAAACATTGATAGCTGAAAATGAGTTCACAAGTGTACCACATCTAGTGCTAAGTTGACATCTTGTAGAAAAACCTACGTTATGTCACAGAAAACCTATATAATGTCAAAAAAACGACAAAATGTCACTTTTCAAGTTATGTAATACCCGCACAGATATCACGTATCTTGAAAAGTCACATTATGCCGATTTTTTTTTACATTATGCTGGTTTCTTTTGATGTTATGTAGGTTTTTCTACAAGATGTTATCTTAGCACTTAGTTGTTCGTGTTGCCTAAACGTCATGAGGCTCGTTATCAATCTTTGGCTCTGATGTGATGTAAAATCTGCTTCTGAGATGGCATTACTGGAGCTCTAAGCTGTAAGTTGTATGTGTTGATGATAATTATATTGGGTTCTTGTCTCAAATATAAAATACTTAATTGAGGTTCAAAGCTAGAAATTAGTTGCGCATCCACTTTTTCTTATCTATTCTGGAAATTAGATATACAAATTCGCTGAATTTCAAAAATGAGAGACATAAGAAATAATTATATTCACTGTACACTGTCGAATTACAAGCCATATATTTACATGCTAACAGTAATTGTACACAACGCGGGCGCGGTGATGATTTCCCGTAATTCTCCTCAGTTTTTCGTAATTTATAACTTTGAACATAACCTCTCTTCAGAAAGCACAACATAAATATAACCCATCGGGCACAGCCAACAGATATACTTCATTGGCAGCATATTCAGTAATGATTTTCTCATACAGCAAATATCACTGACTTTATACACATTCAGACCAGTACACATAAATCATCCAGATGCGATCTTGCTATTCAACCGACTTTCTTCTCAGAGATAAAAACTACTGACAAGGACCATTTGGCCTCACAAAACATATGCAACCAATAATGCGTATAATTTAGTTGAGTGATTCCTTCTTAGATGGACGTTCACAACGATCTTAGTGAGCAAACGTAGAATAACTGTTTGCGCCCTAAAAACTACCTAGTTTGCAAGATGACATCTTATAGGTTTTTTTTGACGTTTTATAGGTTTTTTACATGATACCCATGCCGTGCGGGACCTCGCACGTAACCTTCTGCATGAATAATCACTGGCATCTAGACCGCATTATAAATATATATCACACCAAGATAAATACTCATGGATTACAATAAATACAAATTCTGTGACATCCGCCTTAGAGGGCATTTGAATGTCACGTCACGATTATTTCAACGACACTACCTAAGAACTTTGTGCAGTTAAGCCCAACCACTGCTAATTTATGTATTTCTGATCACCGAGTCTAATTCAAAGGCACTTAGCCGCTATAGGGGCATTTGAAGGTCATTTCAAGGACACACATTTAAAATAAATTTACAGTCGAGCTCAGACGCCATATACATTTTTGTTGTCATTGAGCTCAAATCAGTGATCAATTTGATCATACGACCTACATTTCAAAAGACTCTTCTGACACACAAAGTTCCGTGAAATCCCCGGACGCTCTCTAAAGTATGACAAATTCGAGGAATCCCGGATGGGTGGCAGCCCTATATATGTATGCCGTAATAGTTTATCCAAGCGTTCCACTCCTTCGTAATTGTGTTGAACGCCAACAAACCAACTACATTCACACTAACGTAGGATTCAAACCAATATTTGGGTAACATCACCTGTTACAGATTTTCGCAAACACCGATACCGCTCGTTCAAGCATTGAATACAGCTCTGGGATAACACCTCATCTTTTTCAACAAACTGGGATACACTGCGAAATGGACGTGAACAATATATCAAAAATGCAACTTTGTCTAGGTGAACGAATATATATAAGCTCCGCACTTCTAGCCAAGTTGCGTATAGCTGTGAGTTCCAGCTCCAGCATCCCGGGAATCCGAAGTGTTAGACCGCAGTATAGTGTGAGTGTAGAAACTCAGAACCTCGCAGCGACACAGAACATGCGCCGAGGACTCTCCCTCTACCCCGCAGCGCTCACAACACGCAACAAACTTAGGTTGGCTATATCCAAAAATACGCAAAAGCAGTGGGCTCTGAGATGAGCTCTCTATGGACACCTACATGACTTGAGCTAATTCAAACTTGAACTGAAGGCGGATCAAATGTTCCCCTGTCTCATGTCCAAGCTCGAAGCCTCCAATGCTACCGTATGGAAGCTACATTGCCAGTCTCAGCACTTAATTTTCAGACCTCGTATGTTGCTGACCACAACTTTGTATATTCAACATTCTCTGTGCATTCATTAACCTATGAAATTTGTATGCAAATTTTCGACTGTGGTGGTACGTCTAGACGTACATACGTTATCACTGACATTACTTACTTACGTCCTTTATATCCCTCGCCTTTTCCACCCTTGCCTAGCTTGCCTTTCTTCTTCTCATTAGCAGGAGCTCCTGAAGCTTCCCCAACGTAGAGGTTGAAAAGTTTTTCTCTTCTCGGTGACGACTCCCTGCTCCATGGAGTACACTGGGTGCAAGGAATGCATGGCGTACAAGGGCTGCAAATCGAAAAGCAAGGGGTGCATGGTCTAGAAGGCGCACATGGGTTGCTTGGTTTAGCAGATCGGCAAGGGGGGCATGATCTAAAGGGTATACAGGGGTAGCAGGAAAAACTCGATCCGCGAGGGGGGCAGGGAGGGTAGGCCAGAAAACTCATGTACTTTTATGCGGAATTTTTGGAGAAATGTTCATGAATGATGGAAGGATGACTGATGATAATTTGACATAGATGACATGAATTTTCATTTTTTGGTATGAAGTATGCTCAGCTGTGAGCTATGACGAGGACACTTCAGTATCATAGGATTTTCAACCCTCGATAAAAATGGAGTGTTCAGTACTTTTTTTTTGTTTTGTCTGAATGGTGACCCTAAAGGCGGGTTCTCGTTAGTCAATCGTATTGATCAGTAATAAAAATATATGCCATTGAAGATAGAATTGAATGGTAATTTGATCACACTGATCCATGAATATTGAATATTCACTCTATAATGTTGGTTTAAAAATAGCTCCAAGGCGAAAAATTGTGCGTGCTGGAGTTCGTATTATTTGTGATTTTTTTTAAAAATGTAATCAGTAACAGGAAAAGTAGAAAACCTCGTCGTTGGTGGGTCATTTTTAACAGAAAATACAATTTGGATGTCTTAAGAGAGCAAAAAAACATTCAGGAAATCACGAGAGCAAAATAAAACCTCCAAGCAACCACAAGGGTCTCTCAATGTGATTGAACACTATAGGTCTTACGGTCAACCACTCTTGAATTTACTTGAATCAGTCCCGTAGAACCACGAAAAGTAGAAATGTGCTTCACTTTTCGCAAATCGATAGAGCAATATGGTTAAACGGATGTTCACATTAGACTATCTATTTCACTTCATTGGCATAGATTCCAGCTCACCGGCAGAGACAGGCTTGTCACTCTGAATTCCTGCATGTAGAGTGCTATCTTCAGCGAAGCTGTGGATTGGGTTGATCGTGCAGGAAAGGAGGTCGTTGATATGTAAGACCGATCCCTGGGGAACAGCCACGTTGACGTTGTGGGATGAAGAGGAGAACCCGTCAATTACGACGGCTAACTTGCGGCCAGAGATAAAGTCAGCCGCCCATCTGAAAAGCTTTTCTGGAAGGCCATAGGATGGAAGTTTGCTTAAGAGGGCAGCGTGCCACAGCTGATCGAACGCTTTCGTGATGTCAAGAGCAACAACATGAGCCTCACCATAAGACTGGATGAGTTTACTCCACTATTGCGTGACGTAGGCTAGGAGGTCCCCTGTGGATCGTTGGTGCCGGAAACCATACTGCCTGTCGCTAATCAAGCTGTGACTTCCGGGGTAGTCCAGAAGCTCGCGATTTATGCACCTCTCCATCACCTTACATACAACAGAAAGCAGAGCTATAGGCCCGGTAGTTGTAAGGGTCAGTCCTAGATTCTTTTTTGAGATGGGTTGGACATGAGCAAATTTCCAGTTTTCTGGGAAGGTGCCGGATTCATAAGATATCTGGAAGAGACGCGAAAGCACACCTCTTCAGTACAATGGCAGGAATCAAGTCCGGACCAGAAGCTTTGTTGATGTCGAGCGACAAGAGCACTCGTCCTACGGTCTTATGCTTGAGTGTTACCTCCGCATAGGCACTTGGCCGTTGGGGGGGACGTACATGGTGGAGTTGGCAACAAAGATCTTGGCTAGCACTTCCGCTTTGGTCTTTGAGTCGAATACAATAGTTCCATCCTGACATGTAAGTGGTGGAAGGCTACTGTGTGAGAAGTTCTTTTCAGTCTGCTTGGCCAGCATCCAGAAAAACCGACTGCCATTGCGCTGCGACGTTACCCTGTGCCTAACTTTTATATCGTGCTGGTTTTTGGAATTGCGGACCTCTTCGTTATATTTGTTTCTGGACTCGACGTCGGCTTGTCTGTTCTCTAGTAGGGTGTTGTAAGAAGGTTCTATGTGCCTTGATCTTCTGCTATCGAGCAGTGTCACACGATTTCTTAAACCCTGGACCCTGGTTTAGACACTTTCACTGTGCGAGGGATGTATTCCTTCATTCCGACGTGTATAATTTCGGTTATCGAAGAACAGACAGCCGACGCATCCGCGTCAGTGAAACAGACATCTCTTCAAGGAAAGCTAGAGAAGAAGTCTCTGAGCCCCTCCCAGTCGGCATGTCCGTAATGCCAAGCTTTGCGGCCTGTACGAGTTTCTGCTGCCACAGCGAGTTCTGACCGAAACCTAACCTATGTGTATCTAACTTCTGTAAACGCCGACTCTCTTTTTTATCATTCCAGACACAATCATTATTTCCATTGAAACGCAAAAGCGCAGTATTTTACATCAAGGTCTAATGGATTTCAACAAATAACATAAACGACAAAATAGCCTAAACAATTTTCATCTAAACTGATAAGCTCAGAATTGCAAATATGAAGATGCATCAGATGTACCATATGGTGTGGTTTGAATACATCTTTCTACTACTACTAAAATCGTTTTTCGACAAATAGATTATTGAAAAAAAATGATCGATTTTTTCACTCATGATCACGTCACTAATCTGTGGAAACGTAACCCCTTTAACAGAAGTATTAACAGAATCTAAGCAACAGATATTAACATCAAAACCGCGCATACAGGTGGACATCATCCAGTGAGTTTATATGGCCATATTTTAATATTCTTATGGTATATGGCTACACAGGATACTTTGTTAAGCATAGGAACTAGATTTAAAGTGTCCCCAACAACCGTAATGATTATAACTAATAAGGTGCTCTACTTTATGCTAAAACTGAAGTCAGCCTGTATCCAGTTTCCCAAAAATGAAGTACACTAAAAATATCTAATACCCGGCAAATTTTTAACTTGTCACATTTCAAATCATAACCAGAAATATAAAACTACTCCTGAGTTGGGTAAATACCACAATTTTACGGTGATAACTATGACATATAACAGCTGATTCATGACGTCACGGATCTTATAACCAAACTGATAACCACACTCGCTTGAACGGATCGGTAAATACCAATCCAAAATGGTAAATACCATTTTCCTTTGGTTATCCGTTTGAATTTGATTCATGTGTCGTCTGTTCTCGATGTCCCACAAAGGTAGAAAGTAATCGAGGCTTCTCGAGGTTCTAGACTTCGTAATTCCGGTGGTCGACGATAGGTGGCGATAGTCGTTCTGTCTGGCGCCACCGCTTGGAACACGCGAGTGTGACGGTGTTTAATACTGTCGCCAACAGATAGCTGTCACATCATTGATATATTTGTAGAAATACATTTTTTTTTTAAAATCCCATTCCTCCTCATACTGGTCAATTTTTGATGAGGGCCTACATCCTTTATGAAACTATCAATAGAGTTCAAACGGGTATTTGATTGTGATTTTTATATAGCTCTTGGAGTATTTCTTTGAATAACTTACTTCTTCAGATGCCCCAGTACGCTTAGGTCTTATATCTGACCCATTTTTCGTACTTTGCAGTAATCATGACATGTGTATTGTCACTCAGTGCTAAACGGTTATATAGAATATACAATTTATTTTTATCTTTTGTAAGCTTATACACAAAAACCTAATTCATGCCAAATTAGAAGTATAACGTGAAATGTGGAAGGCCTTCCTAGATAGGACGTCTGAGTCATGCGGTGTTATTACAGCTCCACAAGTGTATTATAAGAGAAAAACAGATTTAATGTCAGTAGAATACCGCAACTATATTCAAAAGGACGTCCTTAGGTAACATGCTCATCGAATGTAACTTTTTTCAGTCTAGTTTCTACCATACATATCGAAAAATAGCAACAAAGAAAAACGTATTTTTCTATGATTATTTTGAAACTGATAAAGTCGTCATATTTGATGTTGAACTCTCGCAAAACTTGTTTTTAATACTCGATAGTCGATACTGGTTTTAAAACTTATCCTGAAGATGATAACATAGGGAAACACGTGTTGGGTATTAAAAAATCGGTTTGGCTAGTGGTAAAACAACTCTGTTGCAGTGATAAAGTCACTTAGATGAAAAAATCAGCAAGTGTATTCAAATAAGCACGTGGGTTATTTTACAACAGATTGGCGATTATTGAAGAAGGTTGAAGTGATAAGTCTATGTACTTTTTCACTATGGCCGATTCGTAATTTCGATGTAAAACCGGAAATTTGATTTTCCCATGGTGTCCGCTTCGGTCGCGCTTCTCCTATGCGTCTCGAAAATATTGAAATATGCAAAATCTAAACATGCGACATGTTAATATGTCAATATTTAAGTGTAAATGCCCAGAGCTGCTTTTTCAGTCTCTTGAAACTCAGATACTATATTAAGCTCAAATAGTGCTTTAAACCTAGTTTATTTCTCAATGGCACAGTTTTTATTGTCTCCTGGAAAATTCAAATTGTGTGGCTTATAATATTTCTGAAATGACCGCTTCAACTGAAATGATCGCGATTTAACCACTTTTTAGGCCGTTTCCTGATTTGTCGGTGCGGTATGCTCTGTTACCGAATTGCGTCCATCTACGCATTACTCGGTATATTCTCGGTATGAAATTCTGCAGTACGGCTTGTTTTGTGGCGAGATGTCGTCTTCGAGTTCGAGTGATGATGATATTTTGACGTGTACGTAAAAAAAGAAAACCTTATTGGCGTTATCCTTACATCTAAAATAATATTAACTGTCGACTATGTGTTGCAGCTCAAGAACTTTCTCATGATGATACAAAATTTTTATCTATGTATAGAATGTCAAAAGAAACCTATTAACAGCCATTTTGCAATGCATGTGCGTATACTTGCGGTGAATCCCGAGCGCCGCCTGCACGAGCATGCCGAGACACGGTAAACCGCTCCCGCACAATCCGCGCTAATCAGAAAGCACTCGTTGAAACGACAAATCAGGAAACGGTGGTGATCGTCTAATTTGTTAGATCCACAAATCTTTTACACAACCATTGTATCTTAACATCCAAGTTGCTTAGATCAAAATCTCAAAATGCATTCAAAATTGTCGAAACCGTCCAATAAAAGAACTGAACTGAAGAAAGAACCGCCAGTCTACTTCAAATCTAAAAAAGTCGGCGAATCTAAGCCTGGTGCATGTTTACACTCTGAGGAATGCAAATGTGGGAAGAAATGTAGTTTGAAACCTAAAGGAACGAGAGGTGATGATGCTGGTGAAAAAAATGATAAGAAGGTATATACAAATCTCTCACAAATCTCATTCTTTGCGTTTTCAAAGACTTCCCATTTCTTTCAAAATCAAATAACAGTATAATATTCTAGTTCAGTGGGGACTAGACCATGTTCGCTATAGCACCGGAATCGGCGGCATCTAGCGGCCACACTTTCGCAGAGCTCGATTCTCGTAATACATATGGCACTTGGTGCTGACAGATTGCGATAAACGTTAAACTCTGAATAGAGTTGCTCAACGTTCGTTCGTTGTCCCCCGAGTCCAAGACTACACCATGCTGAGGATTTGCCAAATAGCACGAAACAGCTATCCATGGTTGGTCGTCTGTGGCCGGACGAACGAAAAATATTTTACTAATTAGTATATTCCTTGTAGAGATATATATCATAAAAAACCTCAAATTGATTTGCTAACCTTCAATACAATTTTCAAAATCCCTAGACAGTTATTATCAGTCCTAGAAAACCAATATCACCTCAGAAATCTCCCAGGCCGTGCCAAAGTGAAGAACCCTTGGTGCTTCACGAAAATGTAGTTTTCATACCGATTGAAGAAGGTACGCAATATCTGGTAAAAGACATCAAATCGGTGCAGTTGTGCAAAAAACCGAAATGTGCATCCAACAGAAGCAGCATGCAATCGGAGAGAGGCAAACAGAATTCCGAAAGAAGTGTTCAGAACATTAATAGAGAGACGAATGAGTTTCTTCTGAAACTGCTCAAGGTATATTTTTATAGATAAGTTTTACTTAAGGATTCTATGAAGAATAAAGTGTCCATCTTCTGTTAATTGAGGCAAATTTCATAGCCGATAAATACTTGTTTGTGTAAATGTGAGCGAAACAAGGTAATAAGAAAGCCTAGTTTTTGCGATAGTCCAAACCTTTTCTGTCGTAGCTCCTGAACTTGGAATTCGAAAATCGGTTAAACGGATGCAAATATAGAAAGGGAAATAAATTTAAAATAATCTAGTCATACAGCATGTCCTTAGAGCTGGGACTTTACATACCACTCGTATGTAGGCGATGTTACAATAAGCAAATTTCCTAATAACACATACACCAAAGGCTTGATATATTCGAGATATTGAGTCTTAATGGGCCAACCTGGTACTGCCTGTAACGTAAAAAGATTGAGGAGGTATGAGATCGTGGGGTGCCCGCAGAAATTTTTCTCAGGGGGTGCTGATCACTGGCAAGACAAATTTTTGTGAAATTGTGCGTACCTTTTTAAAGAGCAGAAGTGTATCCACCTCAAAACTTGCGGGCATCCATATACGTCAGTGTCCAAATCAGGCGCCGCGCTTTGTAAAGGTTAACTTAACATAACGCATTTGACAAAACCGAAATTGGCACTTTCCTATATGACAGGACAGCTCTTGGAATTTCTTAGTGAATAATTACTACTTTTCAATTTATTCTAATAACAAACAACAGTGAGGTATACTTCAGAGCAATATTAAATCAACGGCCAGACGTATTTGCCATACCACTTCTACCAATGCTTCTACTTATCCGTTACAGAGAATGCATCCGTTAACAAATTAATAATGTACTTTCACAAGTGCATTTGCAAAGGTCATAACTGAACTAATTTTGTTTTCTGAATGACAGGAAAGCAGATATACTCATATGTATATAAAATACAGTCAACTAGATTCGCTTGGTACGTTGATACGAAACCATTTCAATAATTGCACCAACCCTCTAAAGCTGAACATGAAACAGCTTTGGCTGTACTAAAAAATAGGAAGATTAAAATTGTTTCATTCGAAAATACGACGTCAACTTAAAAGATGTATATTTTTTGTGAAGAGTGAATAAAAATGAAATTCGAGAATACATTTCAACTCATTAGCTGATTGCATTGGCCGTTGGCGTCTGTTACCTACTTGGGTACTTGGGTACTTCTTGGAATCTCTGAAAGTCAAGTATACCATTCGGATTTTGTGGCATTTCAAACATTTGATTCATGTGACGTCAGGAAATGTTTCAAGTCGTGAAAACTTTGTATGTTAAGATGTTTCAGATAACGCGTCTGTTAAGTGTACCAGTGAGCACTATTGATCCGAAGCTATAAAATCTCTATAATTTACTGCACACCACACCTCTAATCGTAGCTAATAATGAAAATATGGTATTTGGCCTCATCTGCTAGACTGCTGCTAGTACTACAGTTTGAAGCCCAAGAAATATCCCATGTCCTTGAGTCCATACTTCTATACTGTGGTATGTTTACACGTGAGACATACAAAAAAATGGCTATATTTTATCTAATTCCATACAAACACAGAGGGTGTGTCTCTAACATGCTATTACTAATTAAATAAGGGATGGGCTGGGGAGCTTGTCAAACTACTCGAAATAATGACGTTCATGTCGTGTTATACTGTATGGATACAGGAAAATTGAGAAACGAGTTGAAAGAGCTAGGAGCAAAGCATATTTTTTATATAGGGACGAATTTGTGAATTGTGAAGTAGACAACCTTAAATAAAATTAACTTCATTATAAATGCTTAATACGGATCAAGTTAGAAAAAAGATGGTTTCTATTTGCAAAAATACTCTTTGGGTTTATAAAAACCTAATTTTTCTTTTCTTTTTTTGACCATCTTTCACTATTTGTTATCCAAATCCTGAATCAAATCTACCAAAGTGAGTCCCCTGCTGTAAAACAAGTGTTCCAAACCCTATGGCAAAGGCAAACATACCAGAAAAAATTGTCGAAATTCATTGGTCTGCATTTGTCAGCTACCGTTACAGCCGAAATTTTGGCAAAGTTTGTTATTCAGTATCTGTTGTTTTAATATTGCTGACCAGATTGAGGAAGATAAAAAATTCTAAGTCATCATGTAAATTGTGACGTATCTCCTAGCAGCCAGTACTTGAAACTACATAACTTATGCTGAACAAAAAATGACAAACTTCAGGTTGCATAAGCAAGGGCAACATGTCAAACTTCATGATATAAAATACGAAACGTGGGTACCTTAAACTAGGTTGAAAGTTAATTGTTTTCACTTACAATAGTTGCTAAGAAATAGACTATAAACTATAAAGGAAAATTCTAGCATGCATGATTATCTATACTATGTCATTATATATGACTATACTCTGAAAACCAAATACCACTGACGTCGTAATGTGTAAGAGAGAGAAGAGTGCAATACGTGTGTTAGAAAGAGATAGAAGCACCTCGTTTCCTAGCAACCCGAATGACGTGGCCACGGAGGCCATCGGCGCACTCTTTCTAACATACATATTAGACGCTTCTCTCTCGTACACATTACGACGTCGGCCAAATTTGAACCTCACCGTATACCACTTGCGATGATTCTAAACTCACTGAACTACCGGACCACATTCCATCCCTTTGGAGGGTTGTCATTGCATGATGTGCAACACTATGTTTTTATTTAATTGTTCGAAAGTAAAGGGCACAGCGAACTTCACCTAGCCTTTTAATGTTAATAGGGCAAGAGTTTATAGAACAGAATCGACTAATTGCGTTGCATTTCAGCACTTCAGGTAGTTGTTCTGTGGTCACCAACACGTCCACATCTATTTCCGGTTATTTTACGTGGTATCATGTGTCTCCTACAATTTTGATAGCGCTTATCTTAATGCTTTTATGGTTATTTAGTCACTTTCACATTGTATTTTTATATTTAGTGTGCCTAAAAGCGGAACTTTTCTCATAAATCGTGAAGTGAAGTGGGTTAAGTTTGAAATTGCTTTAGTATTAGTACTTGATGGATGTTTAATCGCAAATCGTATAGGAAATGGATTGCATTGATAAGACTGCATTGTGTTCTATGTCATCGTAATATGAGTTCTAGGTGTAAAACTACACCAACACGTTAATGAAGACTTGACCGTATCCTTTTGAAGCCAAAATCTTTTAGCCCAAAAAACATCGATGATGTCGCCTCGACCAGTCGAGAATGCCAACTGATATCGTGAGACTTCCAGATTTTTGTTTTAAACCTTTTAAAGCCTTTTCCAGACTTAAATATGTATTTTCTTCTTACCACTTGCACCTATAAATGAACTCTTGTACTAAGAAATCATTAATTTCTCTTACTATATAACTATATCGTTATCAAAATTGCCAGCAGTGGTCCTTTAAATAAGCATCTATTGCAGACGCCTCTGTTCGTCTATCTACTACTTTTGATTCAAGTAAACTCCTAAATTCATTGCACATGCCATGTATAGTACTCTTATCAGTACTTTACTATTTTCATTATTTTGCATGTATGCCACAGACACGTTGGCACTGTTTTTAGGTACAAAAAGATTTAAGATCAACAGCCAAATGGAAAAAATGACTGTTACATTCGCCACCCCTGTGGACGAACCTAATTTCATAAAAATAAAAAAGAAAGTACCTGAAAATTCTATCTACGTATCTCCAAAATTGAATAAGATTAAACGTGATGTTGTAGTGCCATATCAGCAATGTCCAAGGTAATGAGACTTTGAAGAACAGTAAAAAATTACAGTCAATAAGTCTTCAGATGTCATAAGTAAAATGAGGAACTAAGCTTCTCGAAATATTAATTTCATTTATTAGATGAGATTATAGAAATATAATATACATGATGAACTGGGAAAATGTATAAAACATATGGATCATTTTGTTTTCAAAATTGCCCTACTTTCTGAACAAAATCTTTTTACACCGAAACACTCGCGCAGCAGCCGAAATGCCAGGGCACCGCGGCTGTCATGGGGATCCCAAAGAAACTTTCCTAATTCGATTTTTGAACTGTCTAAGGTTACGTACACATCTGCACTTCTTTGACTTAAAAAGTTTTGTGTCTTTCGACCAGACCTAGTAATTATCAGGTCGAGAAAGTCAACACTCTGCGAAACGGGAGGCCCGTGAAATAGGCTGCGTACCGTGTACACATCGAGTACTCTTGCTCATGGCTATTTAATAGCATATATTTTGGAAAAGCAATAATATTGATATGTGAAGACTTATTTTATAGCCGAATAATAATTGCATATCGACATCCAAACTTTCCAGAATCGCGTTTACTAATGATGACAGTAGTGCAAAAAATGCTAGTGACTCTAGTTTATATCCCCCCCAAAAAAAATTTGTGATAGGAGTCGAAAACACGGTCTGCCGAAACGTTTTGTTGCCATACGTTGATGTATCAGCCTCAAAACAGAGCATTTTCAGTGCAACCTTGAGGAATACATATGAAAACAGAATTTTTAAGGTAAATTTTCTACTGATTATGCACTGTATTATTTTCAGGTCTGCAACTTTTTATACTTTGTTCATCACGACCATCATTCTCATTGATTTGTTTCATTCTTTTGTAAAAGGAATACTACTGTTTTTGGTGATCCTCAGACCATTGATTTTTTTATTTTTTGATTTTTAGTATTGAAAGGTTTTTCTTGGATACCATATTTTCAATAACAAGATATACCTCTAACTGCGATCTGAAAAAATATGATGTAACGTATGAGATAGTATGAAAGGGTCATATATAGTACTAGGCTGGCCTGATATAGGTATAAGTTTGTTACGTATCAGAATATGTAAAAAGTTTACTCTGTGGTATTACGAAATATATGGTACTGGTGTTGGCGGCAATCCCAGTTCAAGATTCAATTCTTGCTTTAGATGAAGCTTTCTCATCGATTTTTTTCCGTTGTTCAGGGCATTTCTTATTTAGATATAAGACTTATTATGGAATTGGTATCATTAATCTGTTTGTGTTTGTTTTTTTCAGTTTGGTGAAAAGGGATCAGGCTTCCGCGTGAAATCTGGTGAACCCCAGGATTTCTATAAGTTACGTGACCAATGTTCAGATAGAGGTGAACTTTTCGAAGATCCCGAATTTCCAGCTACAGATTCTTCCCTATTTTTCAGCCGCCGACCTGATAGATACTACGAATGGAGGAGACCCCATGTAAGATAGATAGATACATAAATATGCTTTATTGTCTGAACAATACATCATTATTAATGACAAAGCTAACTTATGAATAAACTATAACAATATAATAACATATGTGATGATATTAATAATAATACTATTTATACAGGCACATGTACATTTTCATACCATTATCAATTGAGTCTTTCACAAGCGTTGATTTGGGTACTACAAATTTAACATCTTGTGTTCGTCTAAAGATCTAATAAATTACGTTATAATTATATTTAAGATTTAGAAAAGAAGTACTGCATGTAGCTATAGACTTGCTTTTAGTTATATATCTATCATTTTTGTATTAAACTGTCAAATGAAAAAAATTGGTTTTCCATGAGAATTGTTCAAATATTCAAAGCAATACATTGCAAACTCAATATCCTAACAGTATTAGTATTTTTTGCTAAAAACGTACATACAAATAGCAAGTCAAAATAGAGAAGGAAATGACATCGTGATTACAACTTTAAGTTTGATTCATAATTAAACATATGATAAGATGAAATCATAAAATAGTGTATTTTAGGCACTTGATCACTACCTTTCGGCTTGCTCTCATTGAAGAATTGATCGGAGGATTGAACTGTTTTTGGTCTATTCATTTCTTATTCCAATCGTTTATAGGAAATAGCCGACAACCCTCAATTCTTCGTTGAGGGCTTTTCCAGATTTGACGTCCAGCAAGGTGAACTGGGAGACTGCTGGTTGTTAGCAGCTGCTGCCAATTTGACGTTATACAAGCGATTGTTTTTCCAAATTGTACCTGATGACCAAGACTTTGACGATAAATATGCAGGGATTTTCCATTTTAGGTACGCAGTGCGTCTTCTCATTTTATTTTCATGTGTTAGTCTTCTTCAAGAAGTAATCATGTCAAAATGCCAAAATCTATTTTAATATGTTTTCAGATTTTGGCAGTATGGTAAATGGGTGGATGTTGTTATTGATGACAGACTTCCTACTTACCAAGGACAACTGGTTTTCTTACATTCTACCGAAGACAATGAATTTTGGAGTGCCTTACTCGAAAAAGCATATGCAAAGTAAGTTCCATGGTTCCTTGTTCACTACGTTGTTCTTCTACATTGCTCAATTCTGTATCTAACAAATAAAAACATTTTGTATAGGTTGCATGGGTCTTATGAAGCACTTAAAGGTGGTTCTACATGCGAAGCCATGGAAGACTTCACAGGTGGAGTCACAGAAATGTACGAAATGGAAGCGTGTCCGCCTAATCTGTTCCAGATTATTATTAAAGCTTATGAAAGATCTTCACTTATGGGATGTTCCATAGAGGTAACGAAATATTTCACTATGTTACAAGTAATTTGTCCATATCTTCGTTTTAATACAAATTAGGTCAATTTTGGTTTTTGCCACTGACATGTAAAGTAAATTAATGGTAATTTTCTTTTGAAGTTATCTTATCAAAATTCATTAAATATCATTTTTAGTTAAACACTATTGACCCGCGGGAATTCAAAATTGCGCCTATAGCACAAAATCCATCATTAAGAAGGCGTTTTTAAGTGATGGATCTTATGAATATGTTACTGGAGAAAAATTATACGATTTGTGTAATATGGGCCTAATTCTCAAATTAAATCAAGAGATACCAGATGTATCACCTAGTTTAGCTACAAAATCCTAGACCCAGACTCAAATTCCAACAATCGGAAGAAGGGTTTGCATTACAGTCGCAAATTCGACGAATCAAAAGAAGCATTTGGGTCCTACTCGAAGCATTGACGAAATATGATACAATTGATTGATATGAATTTGCGGCTATAATACAAACCCTTCTGTTCAATTGGTGGAATTTGTGTCTGGGTCACAAATGGCTCATCGTACACAAATCGTAAAATTTTTCCGTAGTTTGAGGGACATTCTACAAGAAATCAGCCATATTCATACTAGATCCATTATTTCAAAAACGCCTTCTCATTGGTCGAATTTGGGTCATAAGCAGAAATTTTGCGTCCCGGATTAGTAAAATTGGACCTTAGTGTCAGAGTTGTATACTACGAGTATTTTTTATACGTTTAACAAACTGCTTAGTAATTATTTTCATTTGTTAGCCTGATCCGAACGTGTTAGAAGCACAAACTCCAGAAGGTCTAATCAGAGGTCACGCGTACAGTATCACATGTGTAAGATATGTAGACATCTCGACTCCTAACGTGTCTGGAAAGATTCCACTGTTGAGGTTAAGAAATCCCTGGGGAAATGAATCTGAATGGAATGGAGCCTGGAGTGATGGGTAAGAGTCTAGTTTTTCACATGTATTTTTGTTTCCTGAATGTTAAATTAAAAATCCGATTTCAAATTTAGAAGTCAAATCGCGTGAAACTATTCATATTCTCCATGAGTAGTTGACTTGTACCTTTTTGACGCACAACTTTCATCTTTTATTCACTGTGACCCAGAAGTCGGCGTCAAGCCGGAAACGGGGGATAGCCCAAGTCATAATAGTTATCAGGAAAGTATAAAAAATCCTGCACTTTTCAAGTTATAAGCTTTAAAAAAAATTCGGAAAAATCTACACCGTGTGATGATTTAGTTCCCATTTCTACAAATTTCAATTTTTTCTTAGATGGAGTGATAAACAGAGTCAGTCTACGTAGTGACAGCAAGACAAATAGTAACTCCTCTTTTATTAATACCTGAATGGATTTATCAAATTCACAATGAATGTTCAAACTGCCTTTCTTCAGCAGCAATGCAAGCTTGACATCTTCTCAAAAATGATTGTCGTATCAGACGAGTGAATCTTCCGTTATTAACAAATTCATCTGCTTCCGTTATTCTGTCCCGTAGCTCAGCTAAATTTTTGATTAGGTTGGAGTAAAAATCGAGTAGGCTTAAGTCAGGTGAACGAAATTGTACGAGACCGCCCTATCCATCTGCTCAGACATTCCACATCCGGATATTCTCTAACTTAGCAGGCATAGTTCGCACATGTCTCTGTAAATGTTGGTGGCACGTCTTCCAATAAATTTGGTAAATGATTTTGTAAAAAGTTCAAATAAATTCCGCCTTTCAAGAAGTCAGGCAGCTCAAAGGGTACAATGATTCTCCCATTTAAAATCCCGCCCCACATATGTACTTTAAAACGATACTGTTATCTTTCTTGTCTCATCAAATGTGTATAGATTCATGTAACCCTCTTTTTTAAATGTCAACTCATCAGTCCATACAATTTTGTCTAAAAATCGCGGATCTTCCGATACGGGTATTACGTAGCTTGAAAAGAGACATTTTGTCGGTTTTTTGACACTTCGTAGGTTTTTTGTGACATACCGTAGATTTTTCTACAAGATGTTGAGTTAGCACGAGCTGTTGTACAGTTGTGAACTCGTTTTGTAGCTGTACGTGTTTCTTAAACGTCAGCAAACAGCAATCATAGCAAGCAAAGGTGGAATGAACTATTTGCACACTAAAAGCTACCTAGTTTGCAAGATGACAAATCGTCGTTTTTTTCTACTTTTCTGGATTTTTTACTTAATACCCCTGGCGGTGATTCAGTAACATTGTTTGACAAAACTTCTTCAGATAAATTCCACAGTAATTTCAACCTGATGGTCAAAAAATGAAGCTCACTGTTCATGATTATTTGTGTCCGTATTTTACTTCACATAGACTAGGTAACTATGTCTTCAGCAACTCATCCTGACAACCATACGTCTTCATTGTTTAACAAAACTCAAAAAGATAATCCCGGGCTTCCCGTTCTTTCTCAAGATTCGGTGGGCTGTACTTATGGTCGCTCCCTTGCTTGCTTCTATTTGACATACTGAAGTACTCGGGCCTTCTTCCACTTCTTGTAGTACGACATCCTCGTAAGGAAAGGAAAATTTTTTCACCATATTCTTGATTTGAGAATCGTCCCTCTGAGAGTAAATGGTGCACATTCACAAAAACTCAGTGATAGGGATGACGAGCAGCATTTGGGTACATCTCCCGATAAGTCCAAGCTGCAGCACTAGCATTACATCTACATTCCCCATAAATTAGGTGCATGTTGGCTATTCCTGTACGGTGTAAACATACATGGTGGCTCTTTACAATCATGAATTAATAAAAGTGGCGTTACTATATGTCTTGCTGTCACTACGTAAAATGACACTGTCCGTCACTCCGTCTGAGAAAAAAATTGAAATTTGTGGTTATTGGAACTGAAAGATCATCATAGGAGGCAGATTTTTCCAATTTTTTTTTAATCATATAATTTGAGTACACGACTTAGATTTTGTTTATATGTTTCTGATAATTATTATGACTTGGCCCATCCCCCGTTTCCGGCTTGAAGACATCTGGGACGCCTTGTAAATTCTTTATTACTACATAAACGTATTTTAAGTGCCCCAGAATGGAGGTTCATCTCTGAAGCAGAAAAAGAGGAGCTAGGTCTAACATTCGACAATGACGGTGAATTCTGGATGTCTTTCAAAGACTACCAACGGCATTTCAGTCGTCTGGAGATCTGCAATTTGAACCCAGATTCCTTGTCTGAGGAAGAGTTACTGGACGGGCACAAGAAAAAATGGGAAATGTCTGTCTTTGAAGGCGAATGGGTGAGAGGGGTCACCGCAGGAGGATGTAGGAATTTCTTAGGTAAGAGTCTTGTATTTGATCATAATTCGGGAACAAGTTTTATAAAATTGAGGTGGTACTTACGTTCGGTCACAATTTATAGAAATGCCAGAAACTGTTATTTTTCCAAGCATTAGTTGAGACATGTGTTTGTGTCCTGAGGTACTCACTATAACATTTACATGTGCTCTTATGAGAAACTCTTTACTTCCCAGTATTATTCCATTTTTAACAGAAACAAATGTTTGAAAGACTGATCGTATGAAACTTGAGGGCGATCAGAACGTTACTACAAAATGTAACGGTTTCGCCTTATTTCATAAAGAAAAATAATTATAGAAATGTTGAAAAGCTGACCGCAGTTAACAGTCAAATGGTAGTTTGACTTTGAAAAAAATACCGTAGTTGTTTTTTTTGTTTTAATCTGAAAGGGGATCACAAACAGTCCCTCAAACCACATTATTCTATACAAATTAGACTTTTAGATGATGTTTTATTCAAAGAGCTTTCGTTAGTATGCATTGGATCAAAAAAATGAAAAAACAATTATTCACAATGTACTTGTCTACGATTGTGGAATAAGCTTTTTTCAGTCAATCAGTCAGAAAAAGTTACATGGTTGGAATGAATGAATCGTGAAATTAGAGTCATTCCGACCACTATAAGGAGCCAGCGCCTAGGCCGCTTAAACGAGTCCCTATGCACCTCTACATTCCTTAGACCTCAAGCCTGGACTTTCTAGCGAAGTTGAGTATGGCCTTGAGTCCAAGTTCCTTGACGTCCTGAGGGTCCAAAGCAATCGACCCCAGTATAGTCTGCCTATAGTAGCTCAGAGCTTCACAGCGACACAGAACGTGAGCCGAGGTCTCTTCCTCTACCCCGCAGCGCTCACACAAGGGATTCTCAGCCGCCCCATCACGTGCAGGTGGTGCCTTAACGTGTTATGCCCAAACAACAGTGTCAGCAGCAATCTTAGGTCGGATCTATCCAGAGATAAGCAGAAACATTAATCCTTAGCGCTTGGGGCCTACAATGAGTTCCCGGAGATGTCGCGAGATACTCCTCCATTTCTGAGAGTGCTGTCTTCCAATCCACTTCTCAATTTCCCTCCTAACTCCTTGCGCGGACACTCCGAGAGCTGGCTCCTTAACCTTAACGATACCGGATGCCTAGCTGCGAGACAATCCAGAGGTTGGAAAGTAAAAATTATAATATTTGCTAGCTATCTTTTATCAATCTGTACCATTTCGATTGTGAAGATGGACTCCTTTGTGAAAAATGTTTATATGTTTTTGTAAGTCGACAAAATTTTGTATAATCTAAAAGAAAAGTTCGACTCGATACGATCATTGGGAGCTCGTCAGTCAACGCGCGATTATGAGCATGTATTGACACACTTCACCAATACTCGAACTATTTAGGTACCCAAAAAATAGAGTTCTGTAGTAGGGTTTTTGTTTAGGTCGGAAAGAAAACTATTAACTAAACTGAAAACCACATTTTGAACACATTACACCCTTTTTGAGGTTATGCTTTCGTTTATCTCCATCACAATGCATCAGACCTTTAAAACTCAGAAAATAACTAATTAACAAGTTGGTCTAGGAGCTTTTCTATTAGAATTAGAGGTGCAGGGATTGTTGTGAAAGTATGTTTATTAGTCATTTTTACTGTTTCATACAATTTCTAGTGCAAATATGGACTTTTATATGAAACATTTTCAGGCGTCTCAGAAGACTGTTTGGATTCTGTAAAATCTGCAAAAAATTTTAATGGTGGGAGCGTGGAGGAACTCATTCCGCTAATCTATTTACCAGACAAGTAGCATTTTTTAGATTAAATTGTTTTATTTCCGTACAGGGTGAACTACCAGTCAAGTTAACATGTGCGGAGGATAGTTGGCTGTTAGTGACTATGAAGTTGTTTTTTGTTTTAGATTACACAAAATTCAATCGACTTCAAAAACGTATAATGATTTTTCACAAGAAAGTCCATCTTTACATTAAAAATGATACACAATGATGAAATATGGCTACAAAAACTATGATTTTTACCTCTCAGCCATGTAACTTTTTTCTGGTTGACTGTATGAACAAGCTTATTCCACAGAATTCCATAGTAGATAAACGAAAAGTAAATAATTTATTTTTTTGATTTTTAAGATTCGATGCAACAACGGAGATTAATGAAAAAAACGAAAATTGCATTTGTTTTAACATAACCTCCAAAAGTCTAATTTATGTGGAACATGTGGCTTAAGGTGCTTCAAATGGTCCCCTTTGCTGAAATAGAAACCCAACTGCTATTTTTTGCAAGGTGAGAGTCATTTTCATAAAGATTCGACTAAGCTAGCTGGGGAGACATTTTGTTTTTGACTGTCGCGCTAGTACCATCATACACCTTGGACCGAGTTGCTGAAACTATCAACTGATTTTACCGGGTTGTAAAAATGTATATTTTTCCCACAGATTCGTTTTGGCACAATCCTCAATACAGAATAACGTTGACAGAAGTTGATGAAGGAGAGGATGAGGACTTATGTACGATGATTGTTGCTTTGATGCAAAAGAATAGGAGACAGATCAGGAATACTGGAGCTGATTTGCTTACGATAGGATTCGCTTTATACTATGTGAGTTTTTGCATTAAGTATAGGCATTAAATGTCCCCTGTTTTATATAGGATGGTCATGGTCATAAAAAGAAACTAATGATCATGTGTGAAATTTCTGGTTCACTGGGACATGAGTGAAATACAATATCAGTGAAATGACTGTGACTACTGGCCTGGCCCAATTATCAGGTACTGATTTGACAGTTTAACCTTCGATTTCGTGAATCGCATTTTTCTAGATGATTAGCATAACACTTATTCTCAACGGCTCCCTACAGATAATAGTCCAACGAGTTTAAATCGCAGATCCGATGTGGCAAATTGACACAAAAGTTATTTGTGATGTTAGCTGGGGTGCGTTTATAAATCACTTGGTAATATAATACCGTACACGGGAATGGAATGTAGATTGTCAGATGAAATTTTACTCTCGAATACTGTCATTTTTAGGATGCTTAAATTATTTCAGAGTCATCTAATGACACTTTATGAGCGACCACTAGGGTGGCCAGGAACTCATTCTTATTCATTATTTTTCAGGGTACTCATTTTACTATTTTTTTTTTTCATAAAAAACAGTATTTCTCGTTTTTTCTTGGACGTATCCACAGAAGCATTAAATTATCCCCAAATAGAAAATTGAAGATCATAATGCATTAAGTAAGCTAAAACATCAAGACCCTTGCTGGTAATAGGCTATTTGACTAATTTTGCAAAATCATTTTAAATTATTCTTTTATATATAATGAGCACACTACATGAATATTTCCTGAAAATCTATACTATTTTTAATAGAAATCAAATTTAAAGTTTGAATTTTTAGAACCGCGCCAAAAACGCTATTCCTGTGATGGCGCCGGCAGATGACGTCTGTGACGTCACGCGCCAGTAAACACGATTACGAGCTGTCAGCCGAAGTTAATTTCTGTGCTTGATTTTGCTATAAAATCATAGATAAAATGGTCTATAAATGGTGTGTAGTGCCAAAATGTACGAATACGTCTATAAATAGTCCACAAACATTGTTTGTTTCTGTTCCAACCGATTGTAAAAGACGAAAAAAGTGGTTACTATTAGCTCGGAGAGACCCAAAGGGCATTTCATCGACTTCAAATGTATTTATGTGTGAAGATCACTTCGATGTAAGTATAAATTGAATATGTTATCTACTAGGTAGCTTAAATTACCGCTTTTTTAAGATTGAAATAATATATAACTATCTATAACCTCAAATGTATCTTTGGTTATGTTGAGGATAAGTCAGTGTTGAGGATCAAAGATCCTGTTTATTAACCCTAAACTTATTACTCTGTAGGGTTTCAAAATGTTTTCTGTTGTTGTGATTATATTAGCTACCTACATATCTCAATAATTTTCTATGCTGTGTCATTTTACCTACTTTGCTTATTAGATAGTGATAGTTTATGTTGAATTGCAGATGGAAAAAGACACCATTAACTACATGCAGTACAAAATGGGTTTCAGAAAGAAGATACTTTTGACAGAAGATGCTGTGCCAACAAAATTTCATTGTCAAGAAGATCGTAAAAGACCACTGTCTGATGCTGGACTTTCTCGAGGAGCATATGTCAAGAGGAAAAGAATGGATTTGGTCAACACATGTTTGCAAAGTCAAAATGCTACTGAAGCCCAAGCTGAAAGCTTACAAAAAGATGAGAGTTTGATACAAGACATTATTGAACCTCAAGGTATGTAATCTATTACATGTGTCCTATCATAAATTATAGTCTAAGAGCTGATAGACATTTTTGTAACCTATTTCAGGCCTTATAAAAACTTGTCTACTACTTCTTCCATTATTTCTGAATAAAAAGGGCAGAACTGAATAACATATTTGTAGCACATTGAGATTTTCACAGAATAATATTTATGGTTTAAAATTGATATATTCAAAGTGATAGGTCATTTTAATGGGACATTTTACTTGCTAGGTGATCAAGAATGCTCAACTTGTACTTCAGGTAATGGGTAATTTTCTCTCAAGCTGTTGATGTTGTGATTCACTACCCCTTATCCAGCACTGCACTTTTTCTTCAGTGATAATGGTAGTAGGAAGTAGTAGACAACTTTTCATAGTGCCTTAACATAATCATTTACATTGAAATTAAGACATTAATTTTGAGTCTTTGTTCTTTCAGGTTTATCAAGAACTCAAGACAGAGAAACTATTACCAACTCTATCATAACTGCAGAAAAATCTGTGCAAGTAACAATAAAAGAGAATGTGCATCATAGGAGCAAATCTGTGCAAACAAGATGCCAGACTACAAGTATTTCTACCTCACCAATGAAAGTTTCTACAACATCTCGTTCCACTTCGCCCTTTAAGATTAAACCATGCAGTCTTCGACCATCACAGTCTGAAATTGTCAAAGCAGTCAAGAGAAATGTTTTTCTTGAAGATGAAAAGTCAGATAGTGATATTTCCTGTATTGAAAGTGGTCGTCATTTATCACCTTTTGTAACTAAATCAGCATCATCATCATCAGGGCTTACGGACTCTGATAGTAATGTTACAGATGCCAATGAGAATATTGAAAAATTAGAGTGCCTCAAAATTACTATGCGTTCAATCTCTAAAAAACCAATGATGTATGTTGGTATTCCAAAAGAATGTTATTTCTTAATCAAATTGTTACATAAACACACAAGCATAAAAGTAGAACACATTTTGCTATGCTTGAAAAAGATTAGAATGAACAGTACATTTTCTGAACTGGAGGATAATTTTGGAATATCATTATCTTATGCTAGTAAATTGTTTCTACAAAATATACCAATAATAGCTAGTGTTTTAAGACCATTCATTGTAAATATAGATAAAAAATTGGTAAAAAAAAATCTTCCTATTTCATTTAGACATAACTATCATAATGTCAGTTGCATCATAGATTGTTTAGAGATTGATATACAAAAACCATCAAAGGCTCTTCATCAGTCATTGACGTGGTCAGAGTACAAAAAGGGGAATACTGTGAAGTATTTAGTATCCTGCACACCTAATGGGTTAGTTAATTATGTTTCGCATGGGATTGGGGGCAGAACCAGCGATGCCACAATAGTAGAAAATTGTAACTTTCTAGATGGATTACCTCAAGGATCCTGTTGCTTAGCTGACAGAGGCTTCAAACACGTTGAACAAATACTTCATGAAAAGGGACTAAAACTATTAAGGCCACCCAGTGTAAATGCTGGTGCAAAGTTGTCAAAAACTGAAGTTCGACAAACTAAAATAATAGCTAGTTTGCGGATTCATATTGAAAGGGTAATAAGGCGTTTGAGAGAATTTCATATTTTAAAGCAACATTCAGTGATAAATACTAACATACGTCGTGTACTTGATCATGTCATTATAATTGCATGTGCTCTAATAAATTTGCAAGATTCTCTTATTAAATAATGGGTTTTTGCCTGTTATGATACTTTATACTTAATTATTATCATGTAATCTCCTCTTTTGTGACATACCATTTGAACTTTGTGTTTTGTACTTGGCTGAATAAATACTTCTACTACTACTACTATAAATAAATAAATAAATGATGTAAAACCATGAATAAAATGATAATAAAACAAGAAATATGCACTGCATAGTTTTTTATTTGATAATCACAGACTAGTGCTACGATACAAAATCGGATATATATTTTTTTTCCAAAAAATATACAAGTTTTTTATTAAGTTGTTGACATAATCATCTTCGTACTTCACTAGAATAATATCTACATTTTTTGTTTCTTCAAAGTTGCTATCAGCAACACAAAAATAACATTTTTTCATACCAGTTGCATGCATCTGTAATTGAACCTGTGCCTTACATTTCTCTGAAATAATTCCATTTTTTAAATAATTGTTCTTAGCTTTTGCTTTGGTAGGGCATTTTATTTCAACAATGGCATCTTTCAATAAACCATCAGGAGATGCTGCAAGCATGGGATTGTCTTGGCATACATAAAGTCCACATGTTCTGATTTTTTTGTTCAATGTTGTACTAACTGTCTTCCGGACAGATAGCTCCAAACTTCTACCTCTTTTCATTGCAATAGTATCTGGTATTTTTGCGCCCATTATAGTAGCAACCAATGAACCATCAGGTGTATGACATACGCTCACTTCATGTGCCTTTGAAGCTGTGATACGGCCATACCTCATCTCATACCACAAGCTGCTCTTGTACTGCATTCTTGTTGCTTCTTCAATTGCACTGATAGCAGCTCTGTTGAATGTTGTCTTCATTATGTCTACAAGATTGTCTACGTCTGCTTGAATTTTTGGTGGTTGGTCCATTATGAAACAGTGCAGCGAATACCGCATAACATTTGAGTGTTTAAAATCGTCCTGATATTTTATCAATTCGCAGTGTTGAAGTTTTCTTTTTTTGGCTTCCAAAACAAAGTCTGTGTAAAGTGCTGATGCACTTGGTCTGTGTGGTACTTCCTTTTTCGACATCTGCTGCACAGTGATGTACTTCAGAGTAGTCCCTACTCTTGACAATGTTGGCTTTTTCCAATAACATTCCACCGAAGTAGATGGAGGTTCCTCACTGCGCCGATGTACCCACATCAAAAAAGCGACTGCATGCTTGCATCCTCCTGCTGAAGCAGCACAGTCATGGCACTGACAACTTATTATCTCGCTTTCATTTTCGTTGATAACCATTGTCACATTATAAGCTTTTGATCTCACTTTGTGCTCTGGGCACATTTTGCACTTAAGTGTGCAAAGTCCATGCTCCCGGTGCAGCTGCACATAGCCAATTGCATCGTCTCCGTAGGACTCCCTTCCAGACCTGTAAAACAAAAGCAAAACATGAAAGTATGTTTTATTCATGAAACCATATATGAACCATATTATCATATTGAACTGAAAGCTTTTTTCATTACATCAACATAACCTAAAATAAGATTGATTTTACAAATCTTTTAATGATCATACATAAAGGTTAGTAGGTATAAATAAATACTTTCTATTACTACTTACATTGTTGTTTTCACATGTTTGAGTTCCGCAGCATAGTAGTCCGCATTATTTTTGAAGAAAAATGCTACCATTAATGCGTCAACCTTAGGTAGATTGCTGTTATCAGCTTGCACAAAATTTAGGTCCATTTTGAAGTCCACAACGAATAATGATGTCAATAGTTGAAAGATTGATCAAGAAAGTAATAAAAATCTGTTTATGAAATAGAATTATGATAGAATATCTCACAGAAAGCCAGCAAAAACGTACAACGCGATGTTTGTTTACTTGCATGTGACGTCACCAGAGTCGCAGCCAATCGCAGGGCGTTTCTGTGACCCATCGAATTTTTAAAAATAGCTGATTTTTATTTGATTATTTCCCAAAAAATATACATATTTAGGTGTACATTAAAGTACTATGTGTTTTCTTATTCTACTATCTAATAGGATGACCACAATTCGCAACTTATTTTCAATACTGTCAAATAGCCTATTCTCACGTCAGTTGGCCAGAAAATATTTTAATCGTTAAACATTGTGAATGCAATTCTCATTATATCCTTCTATAACTCGGAAGGTATATTGCCCTGCTTTTATTGAAACTTTGAAACCTAAGAATCAACATGCCCTTTATAGAATATCTTTGTGAATTACCTTTTTCGCATTTCTGAACTTTCTGGTCACAGGGCGCTTTGAGTGCTCACTCACCTTAATGACTTACCATTTTCGTGTTCCTATGATTTCAAATAGATTTAAACCATTGATTGGACTACTGAGCCAATCTACTTGACTCCATTTTTTGCTGCCGATAACATGAAAACACCAAATGTTCTGTTTTCGTAATAAAATCAGCCGTTTAAGCTATAGCGTGTGAAATAGGCATTTCAAAGTTGATTTTCTTTTGTTAAAATCCGCCATTTCGTTTTTATAAAATTTTAATACATCAGGTGTTACACACACAGCTAAGCCGTATCCAACGACACCTCATATTTCAAAATCCATGAAACCGTTTAGCCTGTAGCTCACGAAATAGATTCTTTTTTTGTATGCATACCCACGCGCCAAAAACAAACCCTGTATAAAATCACAGTAAAATATGACTAATTTATTCCAGCTGCCTCATCCAGATCGCGTACCGAAACCTTTGGATCTAAACTTCTTCAAATACAACGCTTCAGTGGCTCGATCCCCGTCTTTTATAAACTTACGTGAAGTAACTTGCAGATTCAAACTGCCACCTGGCACATATTGTATCGTTCCATCGACCTTCGACCCGAACGAAGAGGGCGAGTTTCTGTTGAGGGTGTTCTCCGAAAAGGCCAACATCATGGAGTACGATGGTTATAATAGTGGTAGTATAAGAGAAATACGAGGGAATGAGGTAGATGATGAGGAAGAGGAAACACCTAGTGCTCCTCCAGACTCGCCTCCACCTCAGCCTCCTTCTAGCTATCCTTCCTATCCTTCAGAGCCTCCGTATCCAGGTGGAGGTGGAGGATATCCTTATCCTCAACCGTCTTCTCCAGGCGGGTATCCTCAGCCTGGTTATCCTGGAGGCTATCCACAGCCGGCCTCGCCTCCGCCTGGCGGATATCCTGGTTACCCAGGATATCATAATCAGGGTTATCCTTACCCTCAACCTAATCCATACCCAGGTTATCCTTACCCACAACCTCCTCAACCCCCACCTCGGAGGTCTGGGAGCAGCGATCCGATTTCTAGTTTCTTCAAAAGCCTTTTCAAATAATCACATTTACACGTAAAGCTTGCTTCAAGATACCGTCAGCATTGCTTAAATTTAAAACAAATTACAGAGCTTTGCAAATAGTGGCAGCTTATGCTCGGAGAACTTTAGTATCAGATTTACTACCAATTGAGAGATTACAAAACTTTTTTCATATCTTAGTTTATATCATATTTTTGTGAAAATATTTATTAAGGATAGAATTCATCAGCACTTTCCTAAATATATAATTTGACTTTAAAAATATTTTCAAGACATGCTCGAAATATTACCCACATTTTCATATGACAGCAATGTTTTAATATAGTTTTATTAAGCATGATATACAACGCACAATCTGCTTAAAAATATTGCTTTCCTGCTTCTGTTTCTTCATGTAGATGCTCATTTCTAAACACAGCAAAAGGATCTCGAAAGCTTTTTTCAACTAATTATTTTTTCTTTAATTAATCACCTTGCTATACATCAATATTCAACATCCTTTTGCCGTGCAACGAACTGTTTATTGTTTAGTGTTATTATGAAAAGACCAGTGAGAAAACTGATGTGTTTGAAAGTGCCTATATAAGTGATTGTAATGACTAGCAATTTTAATTAGCTTTTCATTTCAACAATTGATTTTATATTTTCGAAGTTTATTTTGCATTCATAATTTCTCTACTTTTATGTTGAATGCTGGTATCAGATTGTGATCGAACAATGTTTATGAAGTTTTAAAATATTATTTTTAAGATATCTGCACGTCTGTATATACATATGCATTTGTGATTTTGAGAACGTTTTCTTTTTTCGAGTTATTAATTTATATCCTTAGTACGATAATAATTTATGTTTATATTGATTTTTTGGTGGAGGCAAAGTAAACTAACCAAAGATTCGTTTTGAACCACTAAGAACCCGTAACTTTTTCATACTTCATACAGTAATTTACATTTATATTTTTGTAGTAATGATACTATTTTGAGTTATCTATATTGCGACAATCATATCTTTAAATTTAAACTGAAAAAATTGTTAAATCTTTAAATCTAATGACAATATATTATTTAGTTCTCTTTTGGTTACATGAGACCACCGTTCTAATTATAGATATGGTAGCTTTAATATTTTCAAGCAAATACTGACAGTATTAGAAATGTTCTTAAAAATACGTGTAAACAGTTGAATAATAAGCTTTTTACTCTTATTCCTGTATTATGCTTTCTACAACCTGCATTTTTCGAACTTCCTGGCTGTTTTAAGCAAGCAATGTATCTTGAAAATATTTTGGCTGCTTATAAATTTTGCATTTTATCTTATATGCTTATATATGTTTTCAGTTAATACAAAAAATTGTTGTACTTTCTATTCAAAAAAATAATAAAAACAAGATACATTTTTAGGTTAAATAACTGTCTTTTTATGTATAGTCTAAATGTTTTATCATAGATTCTAAATAAATATATGATACATTTTCCAATTATTATTTTACCTTTACAATTAGAGAGAGAGAAATTCGGGTGGCAAGAATAATTTTTCATACTACTAATAAATCATTTATATTTTTTTAGGGAAAACGATGAAAAGGTTGGTTTAGCTGAGGTAGATCAGAAAGTAAGTTCGATGATATTTACTTTACGTCTCCATTTTTAATATAACTTGTAATAAAATATGCATTTCTTGAGGGAAGTATTCATTCCCATAATGAATCAAGTATGGCAAGTAGAACGTATCGTGAATTTTGAGTATATACTCGTAGACGAGCATAACACCCATTTTTGGGAACATATTGGACAAACGTTTCTATAATACTTATAAAATTATCTTCAGGTGGTACCTCAGGAACCAACTGAAGAAGAACAAGAAGAAACGAACAAAATATACGAGTTATTCTTGCAAATTGCCAAAGAAGATAAGGAGGTCGATTGGAGAGAGTTGAAACAAATATTAGATTTTATTTTACAACCAGGTAAGATTGTTAGATTTCTTCTGCTTTTCAAACTATCTTTCAATCACTGCATAGCGTTGGATATTTATTTTAAGATCTAGTGGCACCACATTTCTCTGTGACCATGAGACTTGAAGTTTGGGGTAACATACTTATCAAAAGAATAGTTTTTTAAAAGTACCTAATGACCAACATTAACTATAGGGTAAATGGTTAACTTTCTAATAAAATGGCGTTTAACCAAGAACATTAGATGTATGAGCTTTTTTTGTTATTAAAAAGTAGCGGTGCTTATCATTTTCAATTCATAATCATATTAAAACCTCCCAGAACTGCAGCAGAAGAAAACATTGTCTTTGGATAGAAGAACCTTAACAGGAACTAATGCGACACCATCTGTAACTCAAACACAAACTGAAGCTTCTTCTGGTATTCTCTTAACATTGTGCAGGTTAATCTGTGGAACGCTTTGCAAGGATACACCACTATCTAATTTGATCCCCACGCCTGCAAAGGCAACGCCATTGAATACTACCCTTAAGGGTACGTTTTGCTTGCCAGAAATGATGTACGTGCATGCTGCTCGCTGAAACTGCTGCTTAAAAATACTATCATGGTCAAAACGCAACTATTCGAAAAGACTCATAAACATTAAGGCAAAGTTGTAGAAATTACTCATGATTTCAAATAACTACTCCCAGGTGTTTGACAAATAAACTTTACAACGCAATTTCACCAGACTGTCCTTTATTTTTCACCCAATAAGCATGTAAAACCTTACAACTTAATTTCTCGATAGAATGAACTATCCCTATTCGAGATTTTCGCCAAATAAACTTGTGAAGTTAATTTCACCAGATTATATCATTTAATCCAGCCAAAAACAACACTGACTACTCCCATTCGCGGTTTTTGAGGAATGAACTTGCAACGTGAATTTTAGCAGACTATACAGGGTGTTCCATACTTAAATGGGCATAGTGAAATGACGGGTAGAATGAACAGAGTCCTTTTCATATCTGAAAATAAAAAAAAGGTCTAAATTCATTATTTATGGATATACAGGGTGATTCATTTAAACACACCAAATCCTTAATATCACATATCTCAGGTCCTATTGAACCGACTTTGTTGAAATTTGGCACGACAACAAAATTAACATAAAACTAGAAACTAGACGGACGGTTAAAAAGTCCATAGCATGACTCGGTTTGTTCACTTGTTTTCATCAAAATCGGTACTTTTCAAACTGACTATTGAAATCTTTGATTGTGTACAATTATTATCTTACTTTTAGCAGTTTATGTGACACAAAACCAAAAATTCCAAGGGTTATCAACTTGGTTTCCGTCCGTCTAGATATACGATGCTCCTAGGCAACTTTGTTATTGAGGAAAATCGGTGCAATGGTGCCTGACTTGGCGGGTTTAGATAAATCCGTAAAAACTGAATTTACATCTTTTTTATTTCCATGTAGATACAGGACCATACTACCACTTCACTATGTCCACTTAAGTACCAGTACATTTTGATTGTAGCAATCATTGAATTTCTGTTGTTTCATCTGCAACTTTGTCCCACTTCAACTATTTTTTTTAGTTTTTACGATTTTGAAGAACTGTACAGGACTTTGAATCAGAAGCACCATCTAATATCTATAGCAATGTACAAAGGCTTTTGCATGCGCATGTAACTAGACAAGCCTTTTATTCCTTTGTAAGTGTTATTTTCATTTTTCAGAAATGCATATAAATGCATTTTCAAAAGACATATGTCGCAGTATGATAGCAATGTTGGATGAAGATAGATCTGGTAAATTAGGATATAAAGAATTCAGAGAACTATATGAAATGATTATTGTTTGGAAGGTGAGTTTAAATAACAAATAAAGAACGCTTACGTCGCAGCTGACAACGTTATTTTTATACGTGTTTTCTTTCACATTTGAACAGACGTGAAATGTACTCGGTGACCAAGAAAGTAGAACACCCAGGCAAAGTCTATAAACTTTATTCATCGTCTATTTTCTAAACTACGGTTTTAACCATTTTTTTCTTTGTCACTGGGTGTTTGCTTTTTAACTCAAAAATATATCAGAACACATCCGCAGCTATACAATAATACTATATCGTTTTCAATATTACAGGTACTTACCTGGTAATAACTATGTATATTCTTTTTTATAGAATGTTTGGATAAAGTATGATACTGACAACTCAGGAAGTTTCAGTGGATTTGAGCTTCGAGAAGCATTAAACTCTGCAGGATTTAAGCTGAATAGTAGGATACTGAATATACTTATGCATAGATATGGAGGGAAAAATGGAGAAATCCACTTTGATGATTTCATGATGTGTGCTATTAAACTGAAAACAATGATAGGTGAGGATTTTTTAGTTTACATTTCAGGCGGCATGGCTGATAAAAACATTTATTTTCAGATATTTTCAAAGAGAAAGATGCTGATGATACAGACAGTGCTACATTCTCAATGGAAAAGTGGCTGGAATATACATTGTATACGTAAAGATTCGCGGGTTTCACACTTCAAACATTCCATCGATATTGATACTTGCCTTACACTTTATGCCAAAGATATTTAATGCTTCGATTTATTATAAATATATACGTAATATTTTAGGAACATATATTTATTATCTACCAGAATAAACATCGCAAATGATCTTAAACCTGTGTTTGATTTACATTATTGTCAACATTAAACTACTATTTAAGTAAAACGTCTTAAGAGGGCGCGATTTAGCTATTCGGAGCAGAATACGTTATAAGGTTTGTTCATACAACGGTCGGTGACCGTACCCAAAATCCGGCCACACAAATTCCGTTCATTCTGCTAAGCTTTGTAAACGGAATTCTTACGATCCAACCACAGCCACCTACCATTTGATGACTAGAATAAGCCAAGGACTAACGCTGGATTCATGCAAACTTTATCATACAAACTTACGACAGACTCGTTACGCTATGATTTGTATTCTGTTACATAACACGTGAATAAGGAGGTGCATGACCGTTCGAAGTTTTGCCAAATAAACATGCGAAATTGATTCCACCAGACTTTCTTTTCTTCAATACACTCGACATCGACTATTCTCATTCGAAGTATTTGCCTAATACTACCGAAGTTAATTTCACCAGATTATATCCTTCAATCCGTCCAACGGCATCCATCAATCCTGTTCATCTAATAAACTTGCGAAATTAGTTTCATCAGACCCTTTAATTCATCCCACAACATTGACTAATCCAGATCGTGTTTGCCAAACAAACTTTCGAGGTTAATTTCACCAGACTATATCATTTAATCCAGCTAACTACATTCGACTACTCCTGTTCGACTAATAATTAGTTTCACCAGACCTTTTAATCCGCCAGACGACATCGACTAATCCTGTTCGTGTTTGACAAATAAAATTTCGAGGCTAATTTCACCAGACTAGATCCTTTAATCCATTCAACGACATCCGGCTACCACTGTTCCTCTAACAAACCTTCAAAATTACTTTCACCAGACCTTTTAATCCATCCGACGATATCGACTAATCCCGCTCATACACGTTATGCTACTACGAGAGGACATATGGAATGAACGTTAACTAGTTTCAAGTTGACAGTAGGAAAAATATGACATTAAGTACGAAATCTAATGTGATGTCACAACATTCTTAGGTAATGTTTCTTTTCAAAGATACACAATACCCATAATGTCACTAGACTATATCCCTTTATCCGTCTGCCATCGAGATTTTTGTCAAATAAAGTTGCAAGGTTAATCCCACCAGATTATATCTCATCAATCCGATCGACGACATCGGCTACTTTCGTTTAAGGTGTTTGCGAAATAACCTGGCGAAGTTAACCGTATTTTCGCTTTTTTAATTTTTGACAGTTTAGGTCAGTAAAGGAATACTTGTCTAAATCATAAACCTAGTAGACACACATGCGTGGATTGCGTTTTTGAGTTAGCGAAGTTATGATGACCTACTCAGAAAATTAATTTCTAAATGCCGTTTTTCGGATGTTCCGGACAAGAAATCACTATTTTGACAACGGAATTGAAAAAGACGTGAGCAAATACATATATACAGTAAAACCCCGATTATCCGAAATCCGCTTTATCCGAAGCGGATCGCATACAATAATATCTCCGTTTTAACCGAAGTTATTCGGGAAATCGGCGCATGATCCGAAATAGCCGCCGCTAGTTCCCCTTTCGGCGTTTGCGGAATTCACTGGTATGTGTGCGTGTATGTTTGTTTCAGTCAGGTTCATGATCGCTAAGATGGAGCTGCATAGAAATAAACGTAAACGCGTTGTTATTACCATAGAACAGAAACTTGAGGCAATCAGACGTTTAGATAGAGGTGATTTGCTTAAAAACGTGGCAAGTGATTTGGGTGTGGGCGTGAGTACCATTTCAGAATGGAAGAAACAACGCGAAAAAAT